GAAGCTCTACTGGCACTGGAACATTACGGTCGACAAGTTTCTCGACGGGGATGGGCCTGTAGTGAGTCATTGGGACCTCGACTGGCTTTGGTATGTGCCTATACTGCGGGGTCATCACATTCCTGTAGGTGTGCTGAATATGAGGCACTTCCACAACCTTCTCCATTTCAAAGGGTCGTTGCACAACTTGGGTATACGCTTTCTCGACCACTTCTTCTTCCTTGACCTCCTCGGTAACCTCGATAGGTTGCTCGAAAGCGACATCGCGGTACTCCACTTCAGGGATTTCAATGAGCTTTTCCTTCACAACCTTGCGGGGAACTGGAATAACTCTCTCTTGCACTACCACGCGTGGGACTTCAATTATCTTTTCTTGGTAGACGTACTGGGGCACTTCTACAATCTTGTCAACCACCTGCATTCGAATATCAGCGCAAGAGTACAAGGTGTTCAACGAGATCATGTGTTCAACTGACCCTGCCATTAAAACTTTATTCAGTAAGCCACTTGGAATTGCTTCAGACAAGATAATGAATTTCACGAAAAGCGCCGGTTATTCCCATGTGCCTGCGGGTCTTCCAATTCTCGGCTCACCTTGACTTGGGGCACCTCTACTATCTTCTCCTGGTAAACCACCTTTGGTACGTGCTTTATGCGCTCCTGAATCACTGGTTTGGACACATGGGTAATCTTTTCGTGCACGACAGTCTGAGGGACCTCAACAATGCGGTCAACATATTGCACTTGAGGCACTTCGATGATCCGTTCTTCTATTTCGTGCTTCAAGACTTCCACAATACGTTCCTGTAGACAGATCAGAAAAGGCGTCGTCGAATTTTTATAACGGCACTTGCACAAAATTTCCACTCGGGCAGTGTAGGCGAAAATTCAGCTATATGCTGCCACTTTGATTCGGCTCCCAGCAATGCTGCCGGCAAACACGGAATTCACCTCTAGAACAAAGTGTCAACCGCGGTGCAAAGTGGAAAAAATGCCTTTTTAAACTAGAAAGGCACACAGTGCACAGTTTGGCCCTGCTTCAAAGCAAAACATTCAACTTTTTTGACTACTGGCCATCACGGGGTCAACACCCACCTGAACAAGAGGCTCCAGAACTCTTGGTTCTCCTTGCTGAGCAATAGTTCCAGAAACCAGGCGACTTCCAGGAGGTAGTTGGCCCTGCTGAAGTTGTTGTTCAGCCTGCTCCGTTTCGGCGTCGCCAGGGCAGCAAGGCGCGCAGCACTCGCTGAAGGCCTTCATTTTGATGCACGGCTTGGTAGAAGATAATTCGTCCAATAAATTTGCTTGAAAAGAGCTAGAAAATATGTTAAGAGAGACTTTATCACTGAGGTGGAGTGTCAAGAATGCCAGAGGGAATGCTGCTTACCAGCCAGCGGTCACGGCAGATGAGACCTGTCGGCACCGGCTGGGGGAATGGTCTAGCCGAACACAAGGTTGTGTTGGCAAATAATATCTATCGTGGGATATTTAAAATCCCTTTTCCGAAAGAAAATCTTCTTGTAATCAATGCCGCGGTGAAGTGTGAAAGCAACGGTCAGGCCAGGGTCTCCCAACGAACAGCCACCGTTGACGCATGAAGTTCGCAGAATCGATCGCGCCGTCGAGCCATTTCTCACGAGTAAGCTGCCAGCCGTCAGCCGCTGCTACGGCAAGCTGCCCTGGCAGCGCAGGCCGATGCCGCAGGCGCAGCGTGCACGGGCCAGCGGCGGCTCGAGGGCGCATCGGCTGCCGCCGGCCGTGGCTGGCGCGTCGGCAGCTGGTTCAGTTTGCTGCATCCAGCCATAGACTTTCTAGGCATCGATTTGACCTAACTTTGTTTGTTGTGAAGATCATTGGACGAATTGTCCAAGAATATCCTATATTTAGCCATTTCAACTCCATATTCCACCATTCTTGACGGCCTCGCCTGCTGCAGGGTCGCAAGTGGCTCGATACGCAGGCAGCCGCAACACCGGGCACCCTGTGGATGGGCAGAGCCGCATCTCCTTTCCCTTCGATTTAATACATTAGTTCAAGATGTTCTCTGGCTGCAGCGATTGCTGTGCCCCCGGTGGGGAGGGCAGTCAGGACCAACAACAGCAACAGCAGCAGCAGCAGCAGCAGCAGCAGCAGCAACAGCATCACCTACGGCAACAAGGCCAGCTGAATGTTCCCTCAAGCGCTCATCTCCACGCCACCGCAGAGTCTGTGAGATCCGTTACTCTTGAAGAACGAGCCGAAAGGGAAAGAGCAGTTGCTATCTCTGAGCAAACCGAACGCCAATGGGTGAGCAGTCTCGGTGCGTGTTGTCGACTAGTAACTAACTTGTTGCGTGGGCTCATCTAGAAAGCAATGTATATTTTCTAGTATTTGTTAAGTGGACACGTTGTGGGTCCATGAGCAGACGATGCAGTCAGCCCAACCAGCCAACATACCTACCTGTAGCACGAAAAGCAACATGGCAGTTTCTAAGTGTCAGCCACCACCCCACCCCACAAAAATGGCACGCCAGTGAAGAACCGCATCCCGTTAAGTGGGACCCTTTCAAGTAGAGCCTTAGAGTGCTGCTCTTTTGAACGCAGGTCGCTATCACTGCATACCAACCAGTTGACACCGTCGTGAAGACTGTGGAGGTACCTGTCGTGAAGACCGTTGAAACCTACGTTCCAAAGGTAGTGGTAGAGGAGAAGATTGTCGAGGTTCCTAAATTCGTGCCAGAATATGTGGAAAAGGTGAGCAACAACGGGATTGAGCATACGCCATCAAGGCAGCATATCTCTGCTTAATCCTCGTGCCTTCTCTCCCCCACAGACGTGCTTTCCGCTTGCACATTTACACAGATCGTGGAAGTACCTGAGGTCAAGGTTGTCGACAAGATAGTTGAGCTCCCCCGTGTGGAGTACCAGTACAAGTATGTGCAAAAGATCGAGACGCAGGAGAATATTATTCAGAGGCCCAAGTATGAGACAAAGTACGTTGAGAAGATTGTCGAAGTCCCGCAGGTCAAGGAAGTTGTGCGTTATCAGGATGTCGAAGAAGTCGAAGAGGTTATCAGGTGGGCGCCAGAGAACAGGGAGGAACTAAAGCATGCAGCTCTCTCAAGCGTTTCTGCTAGAAAAGCTCACGAAATACACTGTCCACTTGCTTTTGCTGACTACGAACTTGACAGGTATGTCCCTAAAGGGCAGGTGGCTTCGGAGGAATGGGAACGGCTGAAGGAAAAACATGAACAGGAGGTGAAGATGGAAAGGGAAGCCAGAGAGGCCCAATACAAGGCTGAACAGGAGTACCAGCAATTAATTGCAGAGGAACAGGCTGCCTATGAAGCAAAGCGTATGGGCATGCCTAGTACCGGACCTCCACCTATGCCTCCAGTGAGTTCCCACAAAAATTTGGGTCAAATAAACCGCGCAGTAACGTTACCATTTCAATCGTGCTCTTCAGGTTGTTTGGAGTGGAGGCGAATAATCTATTTTTGGTGCTGTGCGCTTTACTGCGCATGCAGGCTCCCCGTCTAGAGCAAGTGTTCAAACCCAAAGTCGTTAAGACTGTCGAAATTCAAAAGCATGTCCCAGTTTCTGTTGACGTGCCCGTACCTTACATGGTCCCGAAGCCCATCGTAGTCCCCGTCCAGGTTCCCGTTCTGAAGTTCAGAGACCACTTCGTTCCAGTTCCCGTGCGTCGCCGTGTTGTCCCTCGCATCCGCTGGACCAACGAGGTTTATGAGGTTGAGTGCATCAAAGAGAAGCCTTATCTGCAGGTCCAGGACATCATCAAGCCTGTACCATGCGACGTTGAAATCAAGGTCCACGAATTCGTCGAGAAAGCACAGCCGATTAACCCTGCGGAGCTCTCACAGGCGGACGTTCACGCAATGTGGATGAGAGTCAACGCCGACCTAGCAGAAAAGCGAAAGGAAGAGCTAGGCGACAAATATCCGTATGTCCAACACCCAGAAGGAACTGTGTTCGGCGAGCCTGGCATCAAGAGGACCGAAGAAAATGCTGAACTGAGCGACCCCGAAGCCCGCGAAGGCGTTGAGCCTCTGGCACTGCACCCTGGTCACCCGCTGAACATGACGTACCTGCAGAATGAATGGATCAAGAAAGAAACGACAGCAACTCATGAAATGTATACTCCTGAATGGTTCGAGGCCCACCAGAAAGCGATGCACAACCTGACGATGCAGTATCCAACTCAAGTTCAGCTTTCAGCTGAACAGGCTGCCCGTATGCAGCAGGAAACTCAAACGTTTGGAGAGGCGCCTTGGGTTGAGGTCGATGAACACGGATTGCCAAAGACCAGCAGAGCTCAACAAGGGGAACAATCAGCAGCGTGCTGCAAGGTTTGCTCTGCCACATGCGGGGGAAGCAGCAGCTCATGCTGCACTTGCAACGGAAGCAACTAAGCATGCTACTAGTTAGAATGCGTTCTTTTCCTCTTCTGCACAGTGTGAAACAGCGTTTCTGCCGAAATCCCGGCCGTTCGGAATGGCCAAATTGGAAAATTTGAGAATATCTCTTTCTTTTGGCTATTCACCTTTTTTACTATTCAAATGCTTTGTCAATTTTTACCCATGCAATGAAATCACATCATCATCAGATTCAAGGTTGCATGCTATTCGTTGATGCTGGCAATGCGGTGGATTCAACAACGTAGGCGTTCACGACTAACTGTGGGCCACGATTGATATTTTGTCCATGATAAGGCCTGGGGTCTGCCGCCAGCTTGTTGCCAGTATCAGTCGTGTATGTGGCTGAGCGCATTTTGTCAGCGCTCTGCAAACTCCAACTACTACTAATAATGCTTACAAACAACACGTAACTACTTCTTGTGCTGTAGTGATGTTCGACCTGACACTGTTGTTTGCACTACACACTGAATAAGTGAGAGCTCTGGCCTGCTGGTAGGTGTGCGCCAGCTGAGTGCAAGACAGTCGTATCCAGATTATGCATGATTCACTGAAGAGAGTTTTGCCATGCTCGATGGAGAAATTTAGTTTATTTCTTCAGGTACTTGCACAATCCAGATTTATAGTATTGGTCGAAAGCTTCCTCCACCATAGCCTTTGTAAGCGATACATCTTGAAGTGTGTACTGGTGCTTGGATAGTTTGTTGCGTGTCTTCTTATCTTCTTGGTAAAATTCAGCCATGCGCAGACGTGCCTGTTCAGTCAGTGGGATGTTGAAATGGCTATAGATCTTCGATACAGTGCCCAACGGATCCTCAATCAAATCTTTGTATTGCACGTCCAGTATCTGACCTTCCAGATCGGGCCTGGAGGAGCGGAATTCCAATGCCCTATTAATCATTGAAGACATTGCCTCCAGCTCGAGTTTTCCTAGCTCGGCTGGGTTGACGGAATCAAGGAGGGACTGCTGAGCACACCTTACCAAGCTAGCCCAGCTAGCTAGAGTGTCTTTTGGGTCCCTGCACGCAAGAAGCGAACAGGCAGAGCCTTTCGAGCTACGTAATCGTTAAGAAAGCTGAGCCTTCATCTTCGAGTAAGCAGGTAGCTTTATCGCCCCGAAGCCGGTAACCGTACCTGTGCATAAAGATGATTCTTGCGTCTGGGTACGTTTCAAACAGCGCATCAAGAGTGAAGAGGTGGAATGGCATCTTGAGAAGCCACCGATCTGCCACCCGCTGATATTGTAGATGCTGCAGGAAACGCTTGTGGAATTTGTAGGCATTTTTCATCTCCTGGAAGTCATTAGCATACAGCCATTTTCTGTAAGATGGCACATTGAACTCAGTACATATTGAATAGCATCGGCCGCAGTGCTCAAGGATAACGAAGTCTTCTTCTGGAAGCTCGGCGCTTTGTGCATGAATGCTAATCCATTCCTCGGAGAGAGCTAGTTGGCTATCGAGCACCTCTTGAGCAAACTTGATCCGCGGGTCCTGCAAAAAACATAATGCCCGCATAAGACAACGATGCAGTAGGCTGCGTAAAAGATAAAAACCAGTTGTCATAACAAAGACTGCTGATGTGGTCGTACTCACATGCTTCCACGATTCTGGATCGTTGCTGAGGCCCTTCTGGCAGTATTCGCCATTGTTGCCATAGGGAGCAATCATCTCGCAGTAACGGGCTGAGCGGTTCGAGATGTCAGTTGCCATAATGTTTTGTAGGAATGTTGTGCCTGTCCGATTCAGACCAACAATTATCAGTGGCTCCTTAATCTCCTGCTGCTCTATTTCGGGATGCTGATGCCTCATCTTTTCCATGTACATAAGATTCATCAGTTGCTGGCGAACAGTGCGAAACATGGCCAGCTTGCCGCAAAATGACGGATTGGACTCCTGCAGAAGAGAGTCTTTCAAGATACGTAACGGGTTCATGAAGTAGTCGTGGTCTTCGCCGAGTGTGTCTAAGCCCGACAACTTCTTCGCGTCTTCCAAACAAGCTTCAGGATCAACCCTTATCGCTTTGGAATTTTTGGGGAAAAAGCCCGATTGTACACTGCAGGGAACAGCAGATACGCCCGGCACATTCACAGTGAGTACAGAGGATGAGCCTGGAAGAAGGGGAGTGGCAGCACAATCTCAAAACGCCAGTAGCGCAGAAAATTGCGTACCTGTATAGCAGTGAATTTTTGAATACGTCCCTTTGATCTGGCCACTTGGCATCCGGCAGCTCATCAAATATGTTTTTAGTTTCGATGGGGAAGTCATCTGTGCGTTGTTCTGAATCAAACCAGTACTTTCTCATGAACTGCATCAGAGGCACGAATTTGAACACTGGGGATTCAGGACCACGAGCCTTCACTGCAGCAAGGAACTCGTCGACGCTGGCACCTTTGTACGCGAGGCCAAGCTCTTGACTCCAGACTTCTAGATGCTCCCTGAAGATTGCATGCAAGTACAGGGAATAGAAGCAGGTGGGCCTGCTGAAGCCTGTGCCTCTACAACTTTCACTTTCATTAAATGCATAAAATCCCTTCTGAGTCAATACTCACCTTGTTATGGCACGGGGGTCGAAAAGATGATACACAAAGTGCTTCGGTTTTTTCAAAAATGACACGCCAACCTGTGGTCGTAAGTACCATGCACATGCAGATTTTTGTGGCTTTCTTCATGCGAAAACTAGCTGTAGGCATTATTTTTGACACTTTCTGACCAATTTGTATCTATGGTTGCTTACCAGCATTTCGCATATGATGTCAACCGGCGTCAGTGGAGCAGCAGCGCAGCCAACTGGGAAAATTCCCTCTTGAATAGTTGAAATCATCAAGGCAGTAGCATAGTCTGTTCGGTTGGTGTAGCCCGTCGAGTAAGCAACGTAGGTGTTCGGCAAGCGGTACAGGAACACAGGAAGGCCTTTTTCCCGTGCGCTACACAAGACTAACTCAGCGGCCCACTTTGACCAGGGGTACCCCATTCGCAACGGTGGGTAGAAGGCATCCATTTCCTCTACGGTAGGCCGACTGTCTTCTGTAATACGGTAATTTTCGTATGCCCCAGTGAATTCACAAAAGAAGGCTGGGAACTGCCCAAGAGTAGAAGCAAAGTGCAAGGGCTTCAACTTGTTTTTTGTGCAGAAGTCGATTACTCCTGAGATACAGAGGACGTTTGAAGAACGCAGTCTGGCATAGTTGCTGAGTAGATTGACATCTCCTCCCGTGTGATAAACAACATCTACTCTCTTCGAGAGCTCCTCAAACTTTTCCTCTCCAAGGCCCAAGTTCGGAAGAGTAAAGTCGCCGGATAGAGGGCAAATGCGACTGCAGTATTCCTCTTTCCAGCACTTGGCCTCTTTGCATGCTTGCCGAATCCTGTCGAGAGCATGGTTTGCATCTTTGGCGCGGACGATGCACACAACTTCCAGTTTGTCTGATGCTTCCAGCAGTACTGACAGTTGTATGCGGCCAACGAACCCAGTGGCTCCAGTCAAAAGTGCTGTTCTGTAGTTTTCCGGAGATGTGGGAGGCTCAAGAGCCTGAACGTCGAATGTCAGCTGGCTTATCAATGAGTCAACATCTTCCGTTGGGTGCGGCACCCGAACCGCCAAGCGGGGCTTCCGTTTAACAGCTGCTGTGGCTTCAGCACGGTTAGCATATGCGTCTCGAAGCTCTTGCCACGCTACATTCAAACGGTCAAAGTCCTCTGAGGCTGTAACCTCGAGTTTCTCAAGGGCACCTACAATATCTTCGACAGCAGCCATGTCACTAAGAGATCCGTATGCGGAAGTAAGCGAGTCCACATACAGAGCATAACGCTCTGCCGGGACAAGCACAGCCATAAGCCACTGGTCGATACTGATTTGAAGTGTATCAACTAGTGTCCCTCTTGTACCAGATGCACCATCTGGTGACTTCGCCCTGTTCAATATATATTCGGCAATGTCCTCAACACTTGGGTTTTCGAACATTAGATTCTGGGGAAGCTTTACTCCCGTCTTTTCTGCAACAGAGTTGCGGAACTCCACTGCGCCTAGGGAATCAAGCCCCAAGTCAATAAGCGGTGTTGTAGCATTTGGCTTTTCTGCCGATCCGGAAACAGCCTGCGCGACATCAACGAGAATTTCAACTAGGGCACCTTTACTGATGGAGTTCAGGTCAATTGTGTTATTGAATGTGACGGCTGTAACAGTAGACACATCTGAGAAGAAAGGTGGAGGGTCAAACGCGTAGCGCCTGAGGAACTTGCGCCACATCAGAGCCTGGGCACAGATGACAGCTTGTCCAGGACTCTTGAGCACGTCCTGCAAGATCCGTGTTCCAAGCTCATTGCTGATTCCCATCATGCCAGCCTTGTCAAGATGCTGCCGCAGACCAGCTGCCATTCCCTGCTCCACCCACGGACCCCACTGGATGCTCTGACCACACAATCCTATAGACCGGCGCCACGAAGTGAGCGCATCAAGGCAAGAGTTGGCTGCTGCATAGTTCGCCTGGCCAAAGTTTCCCAAAAGCGCAGCGACTGACGAAAACATCAGGAAGATTTCGAGGTCCTTGTTCAAGTCCAGTTCCTCGCACACCTCGTGCAAGTTCCAGGCCCCCAATACCTTTGGACCATAAACCTTCTCAATCGACGCCTTGTCTTGCTCCGCGAGAGCCTTGTCATCAGTCACTCCTGCTGCATGGAATATTCCGCGCACCGGAGGCCATTCGCCAGATTGAATTTCTTCAAATGCTTTTCTGACGTCTTCTTTCTTGCTCATGTCGCACTTTACGTGCTTGATTTGAATGTTTGGTTGGGCACTCAACAAATATTGCCAGGTTTCTCCTTCCTTCAATTCAGCGGATGGCTCCCCAGACCGCGAAAGCAGTGCAATGTGCCTAGCGCCTTCCTCTATGAGCATTTTGCAAACGACTAGACCAAGCGCTCCATGACCACCTGAGATGACATACGACTTGTCAGCCTCAGACGTCGTCTTTAGGGCTATCGGGGATGCGGGCACATCTGCAGGCGTTTCTGTAGAGTAGGATCCATCGATTGGTTGCAGGGCACTACGCATTCGAATAATAACTTTTCCGATGTGCTGGGCTCTCTGTAGGTACCTAAATGCAGCCACTCCTCCCTCAACAGGATCTTCCATGTCAAATACTTTCAGTGGAAGGCTGGAGAGCCGACCACTCTCGACGCTCTCCCGGATTCTGTCAAGCATTCCACCAAACCAAGCGGGGTCTTCTTCCATCATGGTGTCCACAGCTATTGTCTCATACATCACATCTGGACGAGCCTCCTTCACTTGCTCACGAGTCCAAATGCCCCTCTTGCCCAACTCCATGAAGCGTCCATTTGGTCCGAGCAGTTTGAGAGACTCTGGGATATAGTCGTCCACGAGTGTGTTCAGCACTACGTCGACGTGCCCATCTGGCCCTAGGAACTCACGCATATCCTTTGCAAAAGTCGACGCATCTCGGCTGGTGCTTACGTGTTCAAGCCCTAAAGACTTGGCATACTCAGCCTTGCGGCCACCACTGCATGTTCCGTAGACAATAGCGCCCATCCGCTGGCAGTACTGAACAGCGGTTATGCCTACACCGCCAGTGACTGCATGTATTAGCACCCTGTCGCCTGCCTTCACCTTCGCCAGATCTCCTAAAGAGTATTCCACTGTAGATGCAACTACGGGAAGAGCCGCGGCCTCTTCAAATGAGAAACCAGCTGGCATTAAACGTATTAGTTCCGCAGATGTTATTGCAAAGCTTCTTAAGCATCCCGGTACTATGCCGTAGACGCAGTCACCTAGTTTGAATCTGGTCACTCCTGGTCCGACGCGTACAACAGTACCTGCACAGTCAGCTCCAGGAAGACCTGGATCCCCAGGGTATAGTCCCATAACGTTGAGCACATCTCGGAAGTTCAAACCAACAGCGCGAATTCGCACCTCGACGCATCCTTCAGGCAAGTCGGCCCTCGCTGAAGCAGGCAGAGGGCGAAGTTTCAGCATACTCAAGGCTCCACGGTTACCCATAAATAACTCGAGGGAACCACGGCACTCTATGGAGGATTTTGTCAAGCGAGGAACATACTGTACTCCGTTGCGCACGCAGATTTCAAGTTCTGGAGAAGAAGCATCATCTCGTATAGCTTGGGTAATAATGTTCGCAATCACTGTTGGTTCTTTTGCCGCGTCTGGAGGAACGTCTATGCATCCCAATTGGACTGGACGCCCTATTGTATTCTCTACCTCAAGCCGGGCGGAACGGCAGAAACCCCAGACACCTGCATGGGTTGGATTGACAAATGTGTCTTCATCTACTGCTTGGACATGCCCTGTAGTCACTACATATGTAGGAGGAATTTCAATGTGAGCTGGAACCTGTGCCAAGGCTTTAGAGATGGTCAAACAGTCTGCAATGCAGTCAACCTCTGCGCGCGACTTATCCAGAGCGCCCATGTAGATTACCCCACTCCACACCTTGCTTTCAGCTCCCTTCTGGTCGAGAGTGCCTTGCAACTCCTCTACAGTTGCCACTTGGAAGGGTATAGAGTTAGTGCATTCCTTTAGGCCCTCTACAAAGTCCTCAGGGCAACCGAGCAACAGTATCGGGACAGCTCGACTCGGGTGAGAATCAGACTGAGGGGACGTAGTGCGAGTCTCAATGTCATCCTGCTGGCCGCGGCTGTGGCCTGGAGAGCTTTCGCCGCTGTTTCTGGTGGATTCAGCAGCCGCTACTTCTGAGTCGGAGAAGCGTGGTCGCCAACTAACTTCCCACAGAAGATTTCTCGGAATAGTGGCTCTCCGTGACATGTCGACCACACGCAGGGTCAAATCCTCAAGGGCTGCATACGGCCTTCCTTTACCTCCATATATCGTTATATCGAGAACCGCCATGCTGGAATCCTTCTTCTTCAAGATGGCGTGGCTCCAAACCAGAACGTCTGGTGGCAGTCGGGACATTGTCGCCTTGCGAATGCCCACAGGAACCATAGGTCGGGTCGGATGCACGTCGTCAAGAAGCAATGAAGCAGACTGAATGGCGCCATCCAGCAGGGCTGGATGGAAGCGGAACGTTCTTTCGAATGGTAGAAACGGCTGTTGAACCTGCAACCTACAGATCGCTTCGGTTGGACTCCGGTAGGCCTCCCGAATGGTCTGGAAACGCTTCTTGTATTGAAGCCCAGATAAAGCCATTGTACTGTAAATTTCTTCTGGGGGAACTGCCTGTGGTATGCGCTTCTTTGCTTCATCTAAAAATCCCCAGCCTTCTGTCAAGTCGAAAACGGTGTCAGCTGGGGCTAGCCGAACAGAAGATCGGCAGTGAACGTGGGCTTCGTCATCTTCCTCAAGCTGGCTTTTGACTTGGACTTCGTCTTTGTTAACTGTGGCGATCACAGCAACGGTCGGCTCGTGTCCCTTCTGAGCACTTTCCGGGTCAAGCAACCGCATCGGACGGTCGAATTCGACATCTGTTAGCACTGTTGCTGTACTTGGAATCTTGCCGTCGTAGTGCATGAAGGCTGCGCTGCTCATAATTTCCAAGAACCCCGCACCGGGCATGATGGGAGTTTGGCTTACAACGTGGTCTTGCAGCAGGTCTAATACATGGGCGTCTAGGACAGTCGTTGCTGTTGCCTCTGTGCTGCCTTCTCTCTGCACATTATCAACAAGCGGCGTCGTAAGCTTGAACCATGGGAAAGCCTGCCGTTTCCATTCATGGCGGCGTTCTTCATTCGAAAACAATGCGTTAATACTGTTTGCAACTTGTTGAGTGTCTGAAGTCTTCGGGTCGAGGAGTGACAAACACAGAATGTCAGAAGCCTTTAGGGACTGCTGAGCCATGGTAATCAACGTTGGCATGGGACCCAGCTCAACAATAATCGAGACGTCGCAATCTAGTACCGCACGAACACCGTGCAGGTACTTTACAGGAAGCCGGATTTGTTCAGCCCAATAATCCGCAGTTGTCACTTCAGTCATCGACGTCGTCCCTAGTGCTGTGGAGACATATGTCACTGTTGGTGGCTTAAGAGGAACCCCAACAAGGGCTTCTCTGAATGGCTTGACCGCATCAGCAACCAAGCTGCTGTGGAAGGCGTGTGTTGTGTTAAGCTTCTTGTACCGCTCACCAATACCAAGAGCACCAACAACCTTGAGGACATCAGGCTCTTCACCAGCCAGCACAATACTTCTGGGACCGTTGACAACTGCTACTTCTGCTGTTTTTGCGGAATCTCCAACGCTGTCAAGGGCTTTCTGTGCCTCCTCCTGGGAGCAGCGGCAAGCAATCATTACCCCTCCACGAGCAGGCAATTCTTGCATAATTCGTCCTCTCTCGACAAGAAGATGGAGGGCATCCTTTACGTTCATGACGTCCGCCGCAACAGCTGCAGCGTACTCGCCAATGCTGTGGCCCAGTACAACATCAGGCTCCAAACCTTTGTTTTTAGCGAGGCACAGAAGGGCATATTCAACAGCAAAGATTGCCGTTTGGGCGTAAAGAGCTTGCTCAAGAAGTGACGGACCTTTGGAGTCCTTGGTCGGGTAAATCGCTTCCAGCAATGGTACCGGCAGCAATTCTTCGAGAAGATGACTGCATTCATCCATTGCCTCCCTGAAGACCGGTTCATTCTCATACAGTTCCTTTCCCATATTAACGTATTGACTGCCTTGCCCTGTGAAGAAAAACGCGATTTTTCGCTTCCCTGCTCCTTGCTTGACGGCAGCCCTTCCAGTTGTTGCAATATACTCTTCCAGCACTACGTGAGCATTTGCACCGCCGAATCCGAAAGAGCTAGTGCCGGCAAGCACTTTGGATTTATTAGGTGCGGGCTCTAGGGGTACTACGCAATTCGGCAATACAAGAGGGAAGTCCTCGATATCCATGAAGGGATTTGGAGTTGTATAGTGTAGATTAGGAGGTACAGCACGGTTTGCCAGGCAAACGAGAACCTTCAATACATTTGCAATACCAGCTCCTCCTTCCAAGTGTCCGATGTACGACTTGAGGGCACCAACAATCAAGGGATTACTGTCATTTCTATTTGTTCCATAGACTGCTCGGATGGCACCCATCTCAATTGGGTCACCGAGAGAAGTACCTGTTCCGTGGGATTCGACATAGCGAACGTCTTTTGGATTTACATTTGCGTGACGTAAGGCTAGCTTCATGCATTCCTGCTGCATGGGGCCATACGGAGCAGTCAAACTGGCACTGCGGCCATTGTGGCTGACAGCTGTTCCCTTAAGTACCGCAAGTATTTTTTGTCCACTTGCCTCGGCGTCCTGAAGTGGTCTAATGACCACTGCTCCTGCACCCTCTCCGCGTACGTAACCATTAGCAGCTGCGTCGAACGTAGCACAGCGGCACTCTGGCGAGAGCATACGTGCTTTGCAGAATGCTAAAAACAACTGTGGCGAAAGCATCAAATTGATTCCTGCCACCAGAGCTCCGTTGCAGTAGCCGAGGCGGATCCCTTGAAAGGCTGAGTCCATTGCCACAAGAGAGGAAGAGCACGCAGTGTCAATTGTCATGCTCGGCCCGTTAATACCGAATACATAGGAGACTCGGTTTGAAACCAAACAACCGGAACCGCCAGGACCTGAATAGCTGCTGCTTTTGAAGGGGTCGGACTGCTGCTCAAGGAAATGCCAGTCCGAGTTGCAACAGCCAATCCACACCCCGATTGATTTTCCCACAAGTGTGTCGCGTGTATAGCCCGCTGTGTAGAAGGCATCATATGCCACCTCCAGTGCCATTCGCTGCTGCGGATCCATATAATTAACCTCAGCAGCAGACAAATTGAAAAAGCTGTTATCAAACATTTCGGCGTTGTCCATGAATGCGGCCTTCCGTACATACATTTTCCCCTTCGCATCTATCTCGGCATCATAAAATAAGTCAACATCGAAGCGAGTCAACGGGATCTCGGAAACACAGTCTTTTTCTCTGCAGACACACCGTAAAGTCACACAAGACGACGCTAAGGAGAAAAAAACTCATTGCAAAGCATCGCCCCTACTCAGAATTACCTACATATACCCTATCTGATACTTAAACTCCAGTGAATCACAGGCGGATGCAGAATTTCATATGAATGGGCTGTGTTCGCACCTTAAAAGCATTTCCCACAGTAGCGCAGGGCTCTCACTGTTCCCTGGAAGTCTGCATGATGCTCCAATGACGGCAAGCCCTTGCGTGTGGCTCATGAGAGACATCGCTGATGTCGGTTGTTCTGATGACCCTGAGGCAATGTTTCCGGAAATCTGATTTTGGATGTAGGTAATTATCGCCCCAATAGTCGGGTAATCGAAGAGAGTCGTTGCTGATAGCTTGACTCCAAGTCTCTGAGCAAGTCCATTACGTAGCTCCACGGCACCCAAGGAGTCAATGCCCAACTCCTGAAGAGGAGAGTCAAGAGGTGGAACCTCCGCTGCACCCAAAACTTGCCTCGCTGTGTCAATAACTACTTTGGTGACGTGCTCCTTAAGCTGCTCCGGAGTCATTGAGCTGTACAGCTGGCGCAGTGCCGCCGGGGTTGTCACATCAAGTTCCACATATTCGAAAAAGCGCGGCATGGTGTCGAATTGTTCACTATACTTTTTCCATCTAAAGGCTTGGCAAAGTACCGGCACGGGCATCTCCCCTCCTCGCAAACAATCCACAAGAACACGAAGGCCGACATCATTCGTTAGTCCACGAAGGCCAACCTTTTCTATTTCTTGTCTTAAGCCGGCTGCCATGCCCTGCTCCACCCACGGACCCCACTGGATGCTCTGACCACACAATCCTATAGACCGGCGCCAAACAGCTATAGCGTCAAGGCAAGAGTTGGCTGCTGCATAGTTCGCCTGGCCAAAGTTTCCCAAAAGCGCAGCGACTGACGAAAACATCAGGAAGATTTCGAGGTCCTTGTTCAAGTCCAGTTCCTCGCACACCTCGTGCAAGTTCCAGGCCCCCAATACCTTTGGACCATAAACCTTCTCAATCGACGCCTTGTCTTGCTCCGCGAGAGCCTTGTCATCAGTCACTCCTGCTGCATGGAATATTCCGCGCACCGGAGGCCATTCACCAGATTGAATTTCTTCAAATGCTTTTCTGACGTCTTCTTTCTTGCTCATGTCGCACTTTACGTGCTTGATTTGAATGTTTGGTTGGGCACTCAACAAATATTGCCAGGTTTCTCCTTCCTTCAATTCAGCGGATGGCTCCCCAGACCGCGAAAGCAGTGCAATGTGCCTAGCGCCTTCCTCTATGAGCATTTTGCAAACGACTAGACCAAGCGCTCCATGACCGCCTGTGATTATGTAGGACTTCGCCAGGGTGGCGGCGTGCACCTTTGGAGAGAGAGCACTGGGTATCGCCAAAACCACTTTCCCGACGTGCTGCGCCTTTTGAAGGAACCGGAATGCAGCAACGCCTCCGTCCTGCTGGTCAGTCATATCAAAAACTGTTGCTGGAAGAGGGCTGAGGGCGCCAGACTCCAGTCGCTGCGTCATACGGTGTAGTTGGAGAGCGAACCAGCGAGGGTTGTCTTCGATCATAAGATCAACAGCTACAGTCTCGTATTGAACATCTGGTCGTGCTGCCTTCATTTGTTCGTGAGTCCAAATACCTCTTTTGCCGAGCTCGATGAAAATACCGTTTTCCGCCAGGAAAGAAAGTGAGGAAGATATGAAAGGCTCTAGCAGGGAATTGAGCACGACGTCAACCTTCCCGTTCTCCCCAAGAAACTTCCGCATGTCTTTGACAAATATTTCCGGCTTGCGACTTGATGTCACATATTGTACCCCTAGCTCCTTCACGTACTTTGTCTTAGCCTCACTGCCGCAAGTACCATAGACGATAGCTCCAACGCGCTTACAGTGCTGAATCGCCAGGAGGCCAACACCTCCAGACACTGCATGTATTAGGACCTTATCGCCTGCTTTGACCCGAGCAATGTCACCAAGTGCATGCTGCACCGTCGTAGCCACAACTGGAAGGGTCGCACCTTCAGAGAAAGACAAGCCTTCGGGCAGTTTCCACAGCAAATCTTCGCTCGTCACTGCAAATGTCCTCAAGCACCCAGGAACAATGCCAAACACTGTGTCACCTAGTTTTAATCGCTTCACTTCCGGACCCACTGCGACAACCATTCCAGCGCAGTCTGACCCTGGTGGCCCTGGATCCCCAGGATATAGTCCCATAACATTTAGGACATCGCGGAAGTTTAAGCCAATGGCACGCACTCTAACTTCCACCATATTTCCCTTTGGCTGCTTCCTATGGCCGACTGATTGAGCCCTCAAGACGAGGCTCGCTATGGCTCCTCTATCAGGGAGATGCAGTTCGACAGGTCCTCGGACACCCTTCTTCCACTTTGCAAGTCTATGAACGAAGATGGAAGGCGTTTCTGGCGGGAGTTCTGGCGCTGTTTCCGTCCCACTACTAGCAGGAGCTTCATCATCATCCATTCCTCCAGCAAGTTGGGTGCACGCAAGCAGCTCTGGTTCATATGGCTTTGTTTCTTGAATCGTAGCCAAAGCATACAAGGTCTGAGGCAATAGTTTTGGATCTTCAACATCCACACAACCGAGTGGAATCAGCCTTCCCAGCTGAGCTGCCGTCTCTAAGCGCACAGCACGTGCAAAACCCCAAGCACCTGCTTGGGAGCAGCCTCCACGTTGTCCTTCAGTTGCGAATAAACCATGGGTGATAATCCAGATGGGCCTTAGCACTGCCGTCTTGTCAGCCATTATGGCCCGATGTGCAGCCTTGCAGACAACTGTAAGGCCTGCAACAACTGAGGTGTCGTTAGCTGCAGTTGTGGTCGCCGCGACTACAATAACAGTCGTCTCCTGTGCTGAATCATCAGTCCCTGTGACGACCAGTGGTGTTAAATCCTCCACAGTAGGGTTGCTCATAAGTGTACAGCTCCATGGTTTCACAAGCTCGTCGATTTGAGCAAGCGTCTCATCTTTCACTGCTCTGAAGTCGATCACAACAATTTTCAGATTCGCATCTTCTGGAATGCTCGGCAGTGTCTTAAACTTCTGCCACTGGGAGTGCCACAACAACTCTCGAGGAATCTCAGCTGCAGGAACTGGGTCAACAGCCCGCATCGTGAGATGCGTAATGCTGGCTACCCAATCCCCGTCTTCAGTCATAATATTGATGTCCATCACTGCCTGACTTGCATCGCGTTTCACGAGAGCTACGTGAGCAAGAAGGGCTTTATGCACACCATTCATGGACCCCATAGCCACCCGCTGGATCATGAAGGGAATCATAAGCCGTGACGGCCGAGGCTGCAGAGACTCCTTCTTTGCAGCTGCAAGATCGTGTGACAGCACCAAAGCTCCCACGGTTTGGAATGTTCCGTCTAGAACGCATGGATGGAAACGGTAACCAGTTTCGCCTACAGTGATGGGGCCGGGCAGCTCAAGCCGCAGTTTTGCACTCGAGGGTCCACATTCCATATGCTTAACGACTCGGAATTTGGGACCAAGAACAAGCCCATTATCTTTGATGCGCTGGTACATTTGCTCCACATCCACAACCTGACGGTTTTTGTCCTGCTCAAATATGCTTAGTAGCTCCGCAGATGATGGCGTTTCTTTCTCTTGATGAGCGTCTTTGATGTGTCGGCAGGTCACGTGAACAAAAGTTTCGTCCTCCTCACCTTTAGAACTAGACAAAGTCACTTGTCCCCCTGGGGATACAGTTACAAACAGCCTCTGCGTGTCATGCAGTCCATCCGTAACTGGCTTTTCTAGAAGCATGGGCCGCTGGAACTCTATCTCCTCCAATATCACTGTTTTTGAATGATCTGTTTCTACTGGGCATATACAGCCTGACGGCTTCATGCGCTTGCAGCTGACAGCAGCAGCCATGGCCTCCAAATACAGTGCGCCTGGCATAACTGGCCGCTCTTGAAGCTTGTGCTGAGCCATGACTTCGAAATGCTCCCTTCGGACCTCTCCTTCATAGACAGTATCACCGACGTCTGTCTCCCTAACCCGGGCAACATGAGGATGCAGTGTTCCCCGGTGGGCAAATCTCTTGCGAGACCATGAAATTGGCTCCCTCCGCTTTGCCGTCGTCTCGAGCTGAACATACTCCTCCAGTACAGCATGTGCATTGGCACCGCCGAAGCCAAAGGAACTTACAGCACCTAAAAGCTTTGAGCTCCCCGTCAGACCCATGGATGCTTTAGGGAAGACTACCGGCATATCGTCCAGCTCAATGTATGAATTGAGTTTCTCGAAATGGAGATTTTGGGGAATCTCGCGATGCCGAAGGCAGAGCATGAGCTTAATCAGAGCTGCTATTCCTGCAGCACCCTCCAAGTGCCCAATATTGGTTTTGAGAGCACCAATAAACAAGGGACTTTCAGCAGTCCTTCCAATACCATAAACGGCGCGAACAGCGCCCATTTCAATTGGATCGCCAAGAGACGTGCCTGCACAGCATTAAACACTTTGTAAAATAAGCTTTTGTCTCTCAGCATTGTTGTGTGAGCTCAGCAGCTCAGTACAATTCCTGCTTTGCCCTGGATAGCTTGGCACCTTACCTGTACCATGAGCCTCTAAGACTGTCACTTCGTGCGGCTGAATGCCTCCTTGGACCAGACATGCACGTATTGCAGCTTGCTGAGCGGGACCACTAGGAGCGGTAAGACTAGCGCTCCTGCCTCCATGGTTCACAGCGGAGCCTCTCAGGGTGGCCAGAATGGGGTTTCCATCTTTTAAAGCCTCTTCAAGGGGACGCAAGAAGACCATTCCAGCGCCTTCGCCTCGAGCATAGCCATTCGCACGTTGGTCAAAGGAGCGGCAGCGGCAGTCTGGAGATATCATCCGGGCTTTTGCAAAGCAAATAAAAAGATTTGGCGATAGCATAATATTCACGCCTCCAACGAGAGCCCCTGTGCAGCACCCTTCATGCAGCTTGGTAGCTGCATTGTCCAGGGCCACAAGGGACGAAGAGCAAGCGGTGTCAACTGTCAGAGAAGGCCCCTTGAGACCGAAAACGTAGGAGATTCTGTTTGAAATTATTGAAGGGGCTCCACCAGTGCCTGCTCGAAATGACAGCAGGAGCTGTACAATGCTGTTGCTGAGGCAAAAGTATCATGCAGTTGAGACTCAAGACGATTTGCACTAAGTGTTGGAAAAAAACATCGGCATGGGGCAATGCCGTCAATTCCCGTTTCTGCTTAGCTTCAGTCTTTCATGTGCTCTGAAACTGCGGACGACACGCTTGACGTACCTGTGAAGGAACCAGAGGGAATGTCAAGCATGTGCCAATCAGAATTGCAACAGCCCACGAAGCAGCCAATTTCCTGGTCAACCAAGTCCGTTTTACCGAATCCAGCGGACCAAATTGTGTCATAGGCCACTTCCATCAAGATACGTTGTTGAGGGTCCATTACTTTTGCCTCGATATTGCTGACGTTGAATAGCGAATTGTCAAAGTGGAAAGCGTGCTCAACCATAGCACCGAGCTTTGCATACGTGGTGTCGGGATGATCGGGATCACGATCGTAAAATGCAAACATATTCCACCTGTCCAGTGGGATTTCATCCATGCAGTCTGTTCCTGCTTGCAGCATCTCCCAGAAACGGGCTGTACTTGTTGATCCACCTGGCATGTGGCAAGCTGCGCTTACAATAGCAATGGTGGCCACTCTCCTGTCTGCTTTTGAAACTTTGCCGAAGCTGCTAGGCATTGGTGTAGGCTTATGGCCCGAAAATTGTTCGGCTATGGTTTTGTTGACGTAGCCGATCATCGCCCCCACAGTTGGATAGTCAAACATGGCCGTTGCGGGAAGTTTGATTCCAAGGGTGCTGGAAAGAGAGTTTCTGAGCTCGACAGCACCAATGGAATCGATGCCTAATTCATGCAGAGGCTGGTCCATTGCCGGAGGTGCCGCAAGACCTAGTGATGCCATGACAAGCTCGATGACCTTTTTCTCAACGAAGGAATGCCGTTCTTGAGAGTTCATTGAGCTAAGAATTGGAAGAGCAGTGGAGGTAACTTGGAAATCACGTGTTGCGTTTTTGAGCAACGCTGGAACTTTGTCATACCTGAGAAAAAACAAGACCAGTCCGAGCCATTAGCATTATAAATGTGTAACAAAGAACTCTTGATTGCCCATACAGCACTATATAAGTTGCCCACCTCATAAGGAAGCTTCTCCACCTGAAGGATTGGCACATCAAAATTCCGTAACGGTCTCCACTGCGCATAACGTCCTGAAGGACCCTGCTGCCTAGGTCTTCAGTAATTCCCCTCATGCCCGCTTTCTCCAGGAGAGATTTCAGCCCAGCTGCCATTCCATGCTCCACCCACGGACCCCACTGGATGCTCTGACCACACAATCCTATAGACCGGCGCCAAGCAGCTATAGCGTCAAGGCAAGAGTTGGCTGCTGCATAGTTCGCCTGGCCAAAGTTTCCTAAAATGGCTGTGACCGACGAGAACATCAGGAAGATTTCGAGGTCCTTGTTCAAGTCCAGTTCCTCGCACACCTCGTGCAAGTTCCAGGCCCCCAATACCTTTGGACCATAAACCTTCTCAATCGACGCCTTGTCTTGCTCCGCGAGAGCTTTGTCATCAGTCACTCCTGCTGCATGGAATATTCCGCGCACCGGAGGCCATTCGCCAGATTGAATTTCTTCAAATGCTTTTCTGACGTCTTCTTTCTTGCTCATGTCGCACTTTACGTGCTTGATTTGAATGTTTGGTTGGGCACTCAACAAATATTGCCAGGTTTCTCCTTCCTTCAATTCAGCGGATGGCTCCCCAGACCGCGAAAGCAGTGCAATGTGCCTAGCGCCTTCCTCTATGAGCATTTTGCAAACGACTAGACCAAGCGCTCCATGACCACCTGAGATGACATACGACTTGTCAGCCTCAGACGTCGTCTTTAGGGCTATCGGGGATGCGGGCACATCTGCAGGCGTTTCTGTAGAGTAGGATCCATCGATTGGTTGCAGGGCACTACGCATTCGAATAATAACTTTTCCGATGTGCTGGGCTCTCTGTAGGTACCTAAATGCAGCCACTCCTCCCTCAACAGGATCTTCCATGTCAAATACTTTCAGTGGAAGGCTGGAGAGCCGACCACTCTCGACGCTCTCCCGGATTCTGTCAAGCATTCCACCAAACCAAGCGGGGTCTTCTTCCATCATGGTGTCCACAGCTATTGTCTCATACATCACATCTGGACGAGCCTCCTTCACTTGCTCACGAGTCCAAATGCCCCTCTTGCCCAACTCCATGAAGCGTCCATTTGGTCCGAGCAGTTTGAGAGACTCTGGGATATAGTCGTCCACGAGTGTGTTCAGCACTACGTCGACGTGCCCATCTGGCCCTAGGAACTCACGCATATCCTTTGCAAAAGTCGCCGCATCGCGGCTTGTCGTGATATACTGAATTCCAGCGGACCGCAGGTATTCTTCCTTGGCTCCGCCGCTGCAGGTTGCATAGACTGTCGCCCCCACCCTTTGGCAGTACTGGATAGCAATCAGTCCCACGCCTCCTGTTGCCGTGTGTATAAGCACCCTGTCAGATTCCTTAACATCAGCCAGTTGGGCAAATGCATAGTCAACAGTAGCTGCGATAACAGGTAATGCGGCTGCTTCCTCAAAGGAGCATGGAGCAGGCATTCTCCTCAATAGTTCAGCAGGCGCCGTGACGAATGTCTTCAGACAACCTTGAGCGATTCCGTAAACACTGTCGCCAATTTGCAGGCCAGAAACCTGGCTGCCAACTGCCACGACCGTGCCTGCGCAGTCAGCACCGGGTTGCCCGGGGTCTCCGGGGTACAGACCCATAACATTAAGTACATCTCGAAAATTTAATCCTATAGCGCGTACACGAATACGACACTGATAGGGCTCGAGGGAGCTGCGCTGCATAGGTGCTTGGGGGCGAAGAGATAAGTTCGTTACTGCTCCACGGTCGGGCAAATGGAGCTCCAGTGGGCCACGTACAACCAAGGAAGAACGGTTGAGCCTAGGAAAAAGAACTTGGATGCCAGTTCCTGACTCTGCTGAACGGACGAGCATCTCGGTTTCTTGAGGATACACCAGGTGTTGGTCGATGATTTCGTTTACAGCTCTGGTAAGATCCAGTCCTTCTTCTATGTCCGCACACCCAATAAAGTGCGATGCACCAGTAGCGTCTACCTCCAGGCGAATGGAGCGAACAAGACCCCAGATCCCTGCATTCTGGGGATGCACGCAATCATACGTTGGTCCTTGGGCTCCGCAGGTCAAGATCCATGCAGGGTAAAACTGGGCTGTTTTCTGTGTAGCCATAACCTTGGTTACGTCCAGGACAGACGAAAGAATATCTTGAGGGCTTGAAGCTGTGCTAAGAGCGAGAACAAAAATTACTTTGTCTGACTCTATAGGTGAAGAGGCATCCGGCAATGGCAGGACGTTGGCAACGGTTTCAGCTGTTGGTTTTGAGAGCCAAACAATGGTTGTCTCTTCGTTGTCCGAAAAGTCATCACGCAAAGCTTCATGATCCCCAGTACAGTCAATGAAAATAATTGCTGGTCGTGCTGGCTCCGCTGTACTGCAAGTATCCGTAGAGCAGGGCCCCCCTTCGTCAGTGTGAGAGCTTATAGCATCTGCATCGGCTGCGTTCGGCTGCGCAGGGCGTTGGGCGTCGCTGTTGAGTGGAGATAGTTGGCTGACACCCTCGCTTTCTGCCTCTGTCGTACTTTGCGAATCCAGCTTTGACGAGGGAATCCATTCAATGTGCCACAGAAGATCGCGGGGAATCGCAGCTGAAGGCTCCATGTCTATCTGTCGGAAGGTGACCCCACTGAAGTCTGATACTACCTTGCCATCCGATGTGAAAAGCTGAGCATCAACAGTTGCTGCAGTTGGGGTACGAGACAAAAGGGAAACCCGGGCCCATATTTCCTTTTCTGAGCTTGCACTGAGTATAGTCACGGATTCGATGGAAAAAGGAATCATAGCCTTGCGCTGCCCTTCATCTGATAGCAAAATTGCGGAGAGTTGTAGCGCACCATCCATAACAGCAGGGTGAAGACGGAAGCCACGCTCGAAATTCTTCGGGCTCACTGCTTGCAGTAGACCAACAACTGCATTCTCACCCTTAAATGCGCGCTTAACAGTGCGGAACCGTGGACCATACGACAAGCCAGCTTTCTGTAGCTCAGCGTAGGCTGAGGACATATCAACTTCATCGGGGCACGCCTCCAGGATAGTCTTGCTATCGACGTCTGGTATCTCTATGGAGCTTGTGAGGATTTGTGCATATGCGTGGACCTGCTGCTCCCCCTCATCTGTTTCTGAGCTACTTAGCAAGCGTACTTGGCAGTGGGAGTCAACTGATACAGAGATGGAAGTGTTGGAGCCTGGCTGGAAGATGAGTGGCTTTTCGAAGACGAGCTGAGACAAGCATGGTGGTGTCGCCGTTGCTCCCTTGTCTAGGACCTCTCTGGAGGCTACTGCCATGAGCTCCAGCATGGAAGTTGCTGGCAACATCGGCTGATCCTTCACAACATGATCAATGAAAAGCGACTCTGCCTCCTCGCTCATGCCACCAACAAAGTCCACGCGACCATCCTCGTGAGCAACTTTGCGGCCCAGCAACGGGTGGCAAATGTCCCTCCACGGGAAGTACTTCCTATTGAAAACGACCGACGCTGGCTTCGCACCTTTTGCTGCGCATCGCATCAGAAACATATGTTACCAAAGTTCTTCAACGTGCATAGAATTTTCTTAATGATTACGTGGGGAAGACTACAGGGACCAGTTCGAAAGCGCACCTGCTGCAGCGGCGACGGCATCAATTGTTTCGATCTTGACCCCTTCTGGGTCGACCATGTTGATCCACTGGAGAGCACTATCAGCCTGCTCCTTGAGACAACCCCTTCCCATAGAAGTAAGCGTAGGACGAGGCCCTATTTCTACTAGTAAGGTAGCTCCATTTGCTACACAATGCTGGATAGCGTCACAAAACCTAACTGGCTTGGTGATTTGCTCAGCCCAGTAGTCAGGTTGCCGAAGAGCCTCATCACAAAGTTGTCCTGTGACTGTTGAGATCATTTCAATGTGCGGTGCATGGAGCTGCACTTGCTCTACCACTTTCTTGAAGGGCTCACATGTTGGTTCTACCAAGGGTGAATGGAATGCGTGAGAAACGGATAGAAACTTTGCCCTAGAGGAAGCATTCATTTTCTCCAGAATTGCTTGCACATCCTTTCGTGGGCCGGAAAGAACGATGCTTTTTAAGCCATTAACAACAGCAACCGATGACTTCCTCTGCTTTTCTCCATAAAAATCGGCTATGGCTTTCTCGCCCTGCTCTTCTGTAGCACGAACTGCTGCCATAACGCCGTCCATTGAGGGTAACTCTGCCATTATTTTCGCTCGACTGGCTACCAGATTAAGAGCATCCTCAAGCTTCAAGACTCCCGCCACGCACCCCGCCACATATTCTCCAAGACTGTGGCCCAGAACCATGTCGGGGAAGACATTTTTTGACATCCACAGCTCCGCCAGCGCATATTCAAATGCAAATAAAGCAAGCTGAGAAATGGTGCTGCTGGCAAGAAGCGTCTTCGCTTCACTCTCCTTCTGAGGTGATGGATAGAGAATGTCGATAATGGACACGCCCATAATGCCAAGAACAATTTCGCTCGCCTTAATCAAGCACTGTCGGAATACCTGATTCTCCTCATATAGCGCCTTACCCATATTAACATATTGCGAACCCTGTCCAGTAAACATGAAGCAAATCTTTTGTCTGCTGACGGGCCTCTCAATAGAACGGAGGTTGGCTGGCACTTCTTCGAGAATTACATGGGCGTTGGCCCCTCCGAATCCGAACGAGCTAACACCGGCAAGAAGTCGTTTTATTGAACCGTTTGCAGCCAGTGGGACAGCATCTGTGGGGAACTGGACAGGGAAGTCGGAGATGTTTATGTGCTCATTCAGCTTTTTGAAGTGGATATTGGGAGGAACAGTTTTGTTCTGCAACACCAGAACCGCCTTAATCAGCCCGGCAATTCCCGAAGACCCTTCCAGATGGCCAATATTGGTCTTCAGAGCTCCAAGTATAAGCGGGGCATCTTTTGCTCTCCCACTGGCGAACACGCTTTTCAGGGCGTGCACTTCGATTGGGTCTCCCAAAGCCGTGCCAGTTCCATGAGTCTCCACATAGGAAATATCAGCCGGCTTGATGCCCGCTCTGGCAATCGCTGCACGAATAACGTCAGCTTGGCTGGGGCCATTCGGTGCTATAAGACTGGCACTTCGGCCGACATGGTTGCAAGCTGTGCTTCGAATAACGGCTAAGACCTCCATCTTCGCTTCTTGAGCCTCATTAAATGGGACTATCATTGCCGCTGCTACGCCTTCACCCCTTGCATAGCCATTTGCTGAATCATCGAAAGTCTTACACTTGCCTTCAGGGGAAAGCATGCGTGCCTTGCAAAATGCAATGAACAAGTGAGGCGTAAGCATCAAGTTGGCGCCAGCAACAAGGGCAGACTGACAGTCTCCACGAACCACCTTTTCGTATGCAACATCCACTGCAACGAGGGAAGATGAGCAGGCTGTGTCAACAGCTACCGAAGGGCCCTTCAATCCATATACATACGATAGACGATTGGCAATTATGGAGCCCGCGGAACCAGTGCCGGAAAAGGAAGATATCTTGTCATCAGACATTAGGTACACCCAGTCATGGTTGCAAACGCCAACAAACACTCCAATGTTGGCATTGTGGAGGGATTCTCTGGTGTAGCCAGCAGAGACAAAGCTTTCGTAGGATACCTCCAACAGTATTCGTTGTTGAGGGTCCATGGCCTTGACCTCTGGGGGAGTAATGTTGAATAAAGTGTTATCGAAGTACTCTACGTTATCAATGAATGCAGCCCGCTTGACATAAGCCTTCCCAGGAAAATCAAAGTCGTCGCTGTACATTTCGTGCACACTCCATCGGCTTAGGGGAATATCCATCATACAATCCGTACGATTCATGAGCATGCGCCACATTGCTTCTGTCGAGTCAGAGCTGCCAGGGAATCTGCAGGCAACTGACACGATAGCCAGGCCCTCATGCGGGACACCACCACGCCCCATCTGAAAACCGGCACCACTCTCGGTTGGGCCGCTGTCCTCTCCCGTTGCTTCAAAGACATATTCGGTAATTGCATTAAGAGTCGGATAATCGAACAAGGTAGTTGCGGAGAGCTTCATACCCAGCTTTTTGGAGAGAAGGTTACGGAATTCGACGGCTCCGAGTGAGTCCACTCCGAGATCCTGCAAAGGCTTGTCAAACGAAGGAGGAGAGCTGCTCCCAAGAACTTGTCGAGCAGCCGCAGCCACTTGAGCCTTGATAAACTCTTTCCTTTCTGCCGTAGAAAGGTGCTTCATAGTCATGCCTGATGATTCTGGTAAATCTGCCGCCTCCTGCGAGACCCCTTCAAAAAGCGGGGGGACAGTGACATATCGAATGAAAAATGCCCTCCACTTGAATGCCTGGCAAGCCAAAACCGGGGGGCAGTCTGGATGAAGAAGAACGTCATGGAGAGTTCTAAAGCCAAGTTCGTTTGTAATTCCTTTCATGCCATTTCTTGCCAGTTGCTGCCTCATCTCTACTGCCATGCCTTGCTCAATCCAGGGTCCCCACTGGACTGACTGGCAGCAAAGGCCTTTTCGTCTGCGCCACTGCGCCAAAGCATCGAGGCATGCATTGGCTGAGGCATAGTTGGCTTGCGCAACGTTTCCTATAAGCGATGTGATGGAAGAAAACAACACGAAAAACCGAAGGTCTTTGTCGATGCCCTGTTCTTCGCACACTCGATGAATGTTCCAAGCCCCTGACACCTTGCCAGAATACACGCGACGGAGCCCTTCGAGTGACTGGCTGTCAAGGAGCGAGTCAGCAAGAGCCCCCGCTGCATGAAAAATCCCTTTGATCGGAGCCACAGTCTTCTGTATCTTCTTAAAGACGCCGCGCACGCTTTCGTAATTCGACACGTCGCAAGAGAAGAAGCTTACTTTACAATTGATATTTGACAGCCAGTCCCATTCAGGCACGCTGCCTGAGGGAGGCGGAGACTCGCGACGGGCTATTAAAACAATGTTTCGAGCTCCTTCCTCTGCAAGCCAACCGGCAACCACCAAGCCAAGAGCGCCAAGGCCACCTGTTATGACAATAGCCCCGTCCTCTACTGGTTCGATAGAGCTCGGGAACTTGACGACGACCTTCCCAATATGCTGGGCTCTCTGCAGGTACCTAAATGCAGCCACTCCTCCCTCAACAGGATCTTCCATGTCAAATACTTTCAGTGGAAGGCTGGAGAGCCGACCACTCTCGACGCTCTCCCGGATTCTGTCAAGCATTCCACCAAACCAAGCGGGGTCTTCTTCCATCATGGTGTCCACAGCTATTGTCTCATACATCACATCTGGACGAGCCTCCTTCACTTGCTCACGAGTCCAAATGCCCCTCTTGCCCAACTCCATGAAGCGTCCATTTGGTCCGAGCAGTTTGAGAGACTCTGGGATATAGTCGTCCACGAGTGTGTTCAGCACTACGTCGACGTGCCCATCTGGCCCTAGGAACTCACGCATATCCTTTGCAAAAGTCGCCGCATCGCGGCTTGTCGTGATATACTGAATTCCAGCGGACCGCAGGTATTCTTCCTTGGCTCCGCCGCTGCAGGTTGCATAGACTGTCGCCCCCACCCTTTGGCAGTACTGGATAGCAAGCAGTCCTACGCCTCCTGTTGCCGTGTGAACAAGTACTTTGTCACCAGCCTTCACATGCGCCAAATCTCCAAAGGCGTACTCCACTGTAGCGGCAATAACCGGCAGTGCAGCCGACTCTTCAAATCCAAGGGAAGATGGAGCCCGGCGAACGAGATTTGCATCAGTTGTTGCATAGGTACGAAGTGCTCCTGGAGCGATACCATAGACACGGTCTCCCACACGTACGTGTTCCACTTCGTCCCCTACGGCAACAACTGTACCAGCGAAGTCGGCACCTGGGGGTCCAGGGTCTCCTGGGTATAGGTCCATGACATTAAGAACGTCGCGGAAGTTAAGACCAACTGCCCGAACGCGAACTTCAACTTGATTGTGTTCGGGTGGGACCCTGGCTGCAAAAGCTTGCGGCCGTACTACTAAGTTTGAGATGGCACCTCTTTCGGGCATGTACAGCTCCAGAGCACCTCGTACCGCTAGATCACTCTTTTCGATCCTTGCAGCATAGAGAGTGTTGCCTCGTAGCATCAGCTCATTTTCATCAGATGTTGCCATACTCGAACGCAGGAAAGTGACAACAGCCTTCGCCATGTCATCATCCTTCTCAAAGTGCGCGATATCAAGGCAACCAATCTGCGTCGTGCTGCCAATCGAAACTTCTATTTCTAATCGTGCAGCTTTTACAAGCCCCCAAAGTCCACCGTGAGCTGGAAGGTCAGGTTGCGGTGGGGTTTGTTCTTCCTTTATTGGTGACTCCATGATGTCGCTGGTGAAGAACCACATGGGGGGCATTGTTGCTCCATTGTTAAGCAGAGCGGCGTATGCTTGGAGGAGGCGAATAGCTGCATGTGGGACATCCAGCGCTGCATACTCATCAGCTGTCAAAGCTTCTACAAAGGCGATAGCTCTCCATCTGCCACTTGTGAGAAGCTCCTGAACTTTGCTCCTCGTCGAAGGAATATCTTCAACACTAAGCACCCTGCCGTAGTCATCCCCCCCAAGTGCATTCGACAGCGCCTCCATCAGCTGCAAGCTGCCTCCAAGAACCAGCACTGGCCCTTTGCCAACTGCATGGTCCTGTATCTGGGTAGTCAATTCCGCTCTTTTGTCCCACCTAACCTTCCAAATAAGGTCACGCGGGATGCTCGCACCTACGCTACCCCCAATGTCAATGTTTCTAAGGGCAACCTTTTCAAGTGCCGCTACTGTCTGCCAGCTATCGTCAAAAATCCTAACATTTACCACTGCTGAGCGCGACCGGCATTCTACCAACTCTACGTGCGCCCAGCAGCCTGCCTTACCCTCCAGCTTTCGCAGCCATATACGACCAGCGCCAACTGGAACCATAGACACGTGAGCGCGAGAAGCATGTCGTCCAATGAGGGCGGCAGCAACCTGCGAAGAAGCACAAAACCCGAAACTGAATGCGAAACCGGCCCAAAGGAGCTAAAATAGCGCACGTGGCGTGAGAGATTATTAGGTTAACGTGTCAGACGCCTAGCAACGTCGGCCTTCATATGCTCCTCCTTACGTGGAGCGCCCCATCAAGAAGGGCAGGGTGCACTAAGAAGCCGCTCTCAAATGAGTCCTGTTTGCAGCCTTCCGGCAACATCAAGCGAGCTAATGCCTCAGACTCCGAACGAGAAATGCTGTGGACGGACCGGAATCTCGGCCCGTATTGAAGTCCCAAGTCAAATAAAGACTCGTACAATTGGCCAATCGAGACGGGCTGATTGCATCGCGCTTGGAGCTCCTTTAACGATGGGGTTGCGTCCTCTTTGTTCTGTTCCCCAAGAACAATCCGCGCGCTGCAGTGAACATTCGTTTCGTCGTCCCAAACACTACTCAACTCAACGTTCAAGTTTTTCATGATGTGGCAACGAATTGTCATCTCAACATCTTGAGGAACGACCTGGTCATCAGGTAGTGCCCCTCGGCTCGACAAAAGAGATTGAGTGACCTCCTCCAGCTCCACTTTGAGCTTCATATCCTTTGAACGCGGATCTGACGATGCTAGCTTGGGGGTACTCTCCTTGCTGCTGACTGGTGAAACAAGCCAAGTACTTGGAGCCAGAGATGGGCTGGCTAGTGCCGGAGTTGAGAAACCGCGCGAGTCACTGTCTGCCCGTGGTCTACGGACGTAGGCATCATTTACTCTTCTTGGAGTCCGAACTGTGCGAGGGCTAAGCCTGCCACAGTTGCGACTTCCTGCTCGGGTATTGAATTCGTAGGTGACACGCTGCGAACCGATCATCATCGGCCTCTCAAAAAATGCATTCTCTAGTGCGACTGCCCCTGAAGGGGTTTTGAGGTCCAGCGCGAAGGCGGCACTAGCAACGATTTCTGCCATACCCATGCCGGGCATCATAGCCTTCCCGTTTACCATGTGGTCAGCAAACAGTGGCACTGCTCGACGAGGGAAAGAAGTCTCGAACAAGAATTCTCCGTCCCCCAGTTTGCGATGTTTCCCCACAAGCGGGTGAGGAATTTGCACCCAAGGAATCGGTTTCCTGTGATAAATCAGTTCATCCTGCCCATGGAGGCCATGTTCCATTTCAAGCTGCTCTCCTACTCTATCCATGACTGCTAAACAGTTTTGAACAATAGACGCCTGTCGTTCGCTTGTCTCCTCTTCAGCCGCTGGGAAGGCAAACACCCATTCGACATCTTTCGCCATTTCGTCGACGCTCTGCTGGCCCATTTTGATCAGGGCTGCCCGGCCATTAATTTCCACGAGCAGCTTGCATCCGGCAGACACAAGATTACTGATGCACTGATCAAGCCGCACTGTCCGTATCAGATGGCGGGTCCAGTAGTGGGCGCTGAGGACTTGTTCGTCGCAGAATTCACCAGTTGTTGCGCAGATCATTTTGATGGTGGGACGGGAAAGTTTAACGTTTCCAATTATCCGGGCAAGGGGAGTGACTACGTCTGATAGTAATGGCGATGAAAAGCTCAAACGGTCGGGCAGGTACTTAAACCGGCCGGCTATGTCTAGCTTCATCAAAACCGACTCCAGCTCCGACTGAACTCCACTCAACACCAGTTGCTTCTGGCCGTAGACAACAGAAATTGCAACGGATGAAGTAGACCCCGCTGCTCCCCCAGCGTCGGAAATTGCCATCTCCACGTCTTTCTCGCCCACCCTACACGCTGCGGCCACAGCATCAGCTGGAAGGAAAGTATCAACAAGCTTGGCTCGTTGACATGCAACTCGGAGCCCGTCTTCAAGACTCATCACTCCCGCTATTGCAGCGGCAACGAATTCACCAACACCGATTCCCATTACTGCATCAGGTTTGACGCCCTGAGATATCAGACTTCTTCCAATAGCATACTCGAAAGAAAAGAGTGCGGGATCCGCGAACCGCGTTTGCCGAAGCCACTGCTGGCTTTGTTTGCCATGTGCCCTCTCTCCGGACCTGGGCAAGTCTTGCTCGGAGAAAAGGATGGACAGCAGTGGAACGCTGACCAAACGCTTAAGTATGTCCCCACACTCGTTGAGGGCTTTTGCAAAGGCTGGATCGCTGTCATAGAGCATGCGACATTTTTGCAGGCTTTCCACCCCTTGACTACCGAACATGAAGCACACCAGTGTGGGCTTTTGAGCCTTATATGGTCTCCTTCCGACGCAAGGATGAGGTGCTTCCTGTAATAACACGTGAGCATTGGCCCCTCCAAATCCGAACGAACTGACGCCACCAATCCTGGGTTTCCCTGTTGCCGGTGTTATTGGGAGCGCAACCACAGGGCATACGAACTTCGCGCCCTTGAGGTCAATGTGCGGATTCCACGTTTTAAAGTGGAGATTAGGGGGCATTTGCTCATAGCGAAGAGCAAGGGCAGCCTTTAGAAACCCTGCAATACCTGCAGCACCCTCAAGATGTCCAATGTTGGTCTTAACTGCACCCAAGAGAAGAGGGGAGTCCCTGCTAGACCTAAACACGGACTTGAGGGCTCCGATCTCTATCGGGTCCCCCAGAGGCGTTCCAGTTCCATGTGTCTCGACAAACAGCACCTCATCCGGAGCTACGGAAGCATTACGAAGCGCCGTTCGAATAATTCGTTCTTGGGATGGGCCGCTAGGGGCTGTCAGGCTGGCCGCCCGCCCTCCGTGGTTGACGGCTGTCCCTCGAACGATACAGAGGATGCGACTGCTGTCTTTCATTGCTTCCGTATGAGGCTTGATTACAATGGCACCAAGTCCTTCTCCACGAACATAGCCATTCGCACTGGCATCAAATGTTTTGCAGCGTGCATCAGGAGCCATCATGCGAGCCTTGCAGAACGCTACGGTGACATTTGGAGAGAGCATGAGGTTCACACCAGCGACCAATGCACAGGAGCAGCTTCCTGCCTTAAGTTCCTGGATGGCTATATGCAGCGCTACAAGGGAAGACGAGCACGCGGTATCCACAGTTAACGATGGGCCCAGCATCCCAAGAGTGTACGATATTCGATTGGATAAAATGGACGGTGCGTGGCTCGTCGCCGTAAAGCTACTGATTCCAAGACCCATCTGAGCGCATGTTTGCTGCCATTCATTGCAGCAGCATCCCACAAATGTCCCAATATTTGCCCTCAACAAAGTCTCCTTGTCGAAACCACTGTCATGCAGGGCCTCATAGCCGACCTCTAAAAGAAGCCGTTGTTGGGGATCCATACTCGATGCCTGCAAAAGCGCAACGCATTGCCAAATGAAACAAAAGCTTTTGATACATCCATCGGGCTGGCAGAGTAGTAAGCCCGGGGACGCTGAAATACTATTCAGGGTAGGATGCGATCGGTAGCGAGCCGCCTACCTCAGCCAATGAAATCCTGAAGAAAGACGCGTCAAAAAACTCGGCGTTCTCAATAAAACCGCCTTCTCGAATGTACATCTTGCCTTCTGCATCTGGGTCTGGATCGAAATAGTCCTCCACATCCCATCTGCATCGAAACAAGGCTGAATGTGCAAATTCTCGATGAATTACCCTGCGCGTACGGTGGAACCGGTGTGCAAGCTGGTACAGGGACAACCAAGTAGACACAGAACTGACCTGGACCGCGGCACCTCTACCATTGCATCGACACCGCACATAAGAGCGTCCCAGAATGAACTGAGAGTAGTGCTGCCTCCTGGCAAGTTGCATGCGGCGCCTACAACGGCCATTGTCGTGTCCGTGGTGTTCGTGTTGATAGTGAGTGCCTCTTCGGCCCCTTTACCCTCAATTTCACGCACTAGGAACTCCATAATGTCCTCCATCGTCGGGTAATTAAACATCAGCGTCGGCTCGATGTCGATATTTAACCTTTCAGAAACAAGCTCCGCTAGCTCTACAGCAGCAATTGAATCAACTCCTAATTCATGGAGTGGGGCCTGCATATCCGGCAACTCGCCGTCGTCCCCCAATACATTCTTCGCTGCATCGATCACCGCTTCCCTCACTGCCTTGACAATGGCCTCGTGTGTCGGTCCAGATTCGTCGTGGCCCTTGTGTCCCGCTTCACAAGGCTGCTGAGTGGGAGATTTGAGGGGAGCTTGGGTTCCTGCTCTCGCGGCGTTTGAGACTGCTTCAGTTTGGTGAGCATGATGTGTATACGTATGAATAACGCCATCCAACTTGCCTTCAAGCAGTTTTTCTCGGGCAAGAGATCTCCTGAGTTTCCCACTGCTTGTTTTTGGTAGGCTTCGCGGTCTCAGGAGCCAAACTCTGTGCACACTGAGGCCGGTACTGGTAGCGACCGTTCGACAGATATTCTTAACTATTTGGTCATAGCTGGACCTATCAAAGAGCTGCCGGCGGACCCGGGCCCAGACACCCTTTAAACCGTCTTCTACACGGAGCTCGGCAGCAATGCCTAGCACTTCATTTGAGTCCGCCTCGATCGCAAATGCAGCTACGCAGCCTGGACGAATTTGAGGCACTTCTAAAATTGCCTCTTCAATGTCTGACGGGTAATAATTTCGGCCTCTAATGATAATAATATCTTTGAATCGGCCGGTTACGTACAGCTCTCCATTATACATAAATCCACAATCTCCAGTGCGGAGCCCACTTGCCGGAGTGCTGTTTCCTTTCGCATCTTTCACAGATACATGGAATGTTTGGCTTGTCTGTTCCGGCTTGTTGAAGTATCCCAGAGCCACAGATTCACTAAATGCAATGATTTCCCCGACGTGCCCATCTGGTAACTCTTGATCAGTCTCCGGGTCCACAATTTTTACTGCAGACACCCACGAAAAGCAAATGCCCATTCTCCTGGGTTTTGTTGCGCTCATGCTTGTTTTGTGGTAAAGTAAATGAAAATAAGGCTCACCAGTGACACCTTTAAATGGAAAGCCACAGCTGACAACGTCCTGCACGTCGCCCGCTGGCTTAGAAGCAGCTTCCTCAGGGGTGAAGATTCTGACAATACGTTCAGCTCGTAACTTCAGTGCGTCAACGTAAAGGATAGTCGCACTGGTTTGCCAGTCCCCTCTTCCAGTAACAATAAGTGTGTGCTCGGCAAGACCGTACGCTGGAGCAACAGTACACGGTTTGATGCCTTTCGGGCCAAATTTCTGGGAACGCACGTAAAGTCACCAGGAAGGCTTTGATGTTACTTACACAGCGGTATATCCTGTAAATAAGTCACTCGCGCCTCAAGTGTAATTTTTGCGCTCACCTCAACAAACTGTTCCACTGTTTGCCTCCGGACAGGCTCCGCTCCGGATAGTATTCCCGTCACATGGGAAAGATCTAGCTGATTATACACGTTATCAGGCATCTTCCGTGTCACCAGCCCGAAGGCGAAGTTAGGAGCAGCACTGCACACGCACTCGTATTGGCTTAAGGCTTTGAGCCAAACCCAGGGCCGTCGAATGAAATCGATTGGAGACATTTGGTAAAGAGCGGCTCCACAGAACAGTGGGCAGCAGACAAAGCCGATGAGCCTGAAAGAACGAAGAGCATACATTGACTTTCACACGCCAAGCAATTATGTCTAGGGAAACAAAAGTATAGGCGGTTTCCAGAGTCCTGCATGCCCCGCTTGACAGTTCTGATGCTGGAAGTTGCAGAGCCTGCTATTCTTACCCCATGTCATGGTAGACTGGCAGCCAAGAGAACGCTCGGACTCTGTGACCTTTGCGCGCCATTGATACTTCATGGCGTCTTTTCCAGAACTCGTCCAGCTCAAAAAAGTCATAATCGTGGGTCGAAAATTGTTCGTTGGGGTCTTTAGTCTCCAAGTGCGTCGGAAATTCGAAGGAGTGCCAGCACAGGTGCATGTTATGCAACAAAGAGGCATGCGTCACCATGACTCCCTTTGGTTCCGAAGTACTTCCAGATGTGAACTGCGCAGATAGGGAACAGAAGTCGCAAGTTTAATTGAGTCAGTGGATCTCACATGCGCTAAATTGTCAGCGTGATGCAACAAAACTGCGCTACTGGTTGAGACAGCCAACATTTCATGCACAGAAACTGCTTCGCCACAAGCCTACCTGCAGAAACGCAATGGAATGGGGATCCAGAGTTGCCGGGGGGCAATTAGCCGCAGTGGCTTTTGTTTTGATAGTATCTGTGCAAATCCACTCAATTTCTTTCCATCGCCTCTCACGAGATACAACAGACATCGCCGCAGCAACCCGACGGTAAGTTGTTGAAGTGAGGGCCTTTTTAGTTCCAGCACTCGCCCCAATATCACAGAAACGGGGAATATCCGTCACTCCCTTTGTAGGATCAGGGGGATAGACAGGAACAGCGGCAATGCCAGAAATAATGCAGCTGTAGAATGCAACAATAAAATCTATCCCCGGTGGATAGCACAAGATGACCCTGTCATTCTTCTTAATTCCTATTTCCTCCAAGTGAGCTGCTAATGTGTATATTTGGTCCACTAGCTGCTTGTAAGTTCTTATTTCAGCCACATCTCCTTCTCCATTCAACCAGACAACCGCTTCAGCGTCTGGCGCCTCCCGAACCCACTTGTTGAATGTGGCGGCAAACGGATTACCACCAAGCTTGCTCCACAATGCAGCGATTGGTGGACTCATTGAACGGCGCGATGGACTTGTCGTTTCCGACGTGTCGGACTGAGTTGCGGTTGATGACTCCGCTAATTTCCGCTTCGTTTCCAACATTTTCGAACAATTGCACCCCCGCCTTTCACGCCCGACAGGGAAACGGAAGCAACAGTCACTTGTGTGAGGGCCGAAGGGCGACCAACTCAGAATACATGTATCAAAGCTTCGGTCTAAAACACATCACAACTGGCGGTGCTGCTTGGGCTTGTGTCGTGGGCCAGTCTGTCAAGTGGAGTGCTCGCAGTGAGTTCCTGGAGCCCGCAAAAGTAATCGAGCTTAGTTCTTGAAGTAAACCCCACGGGATGAACGCCAGCCTACGAAATTGGCGCAGTAGTCTTCGTGACAAGCAGTCAACCTCACGTAGCTGTGGACCGTCAGCACAGGGCCTGAAACCACGGATTGCTGGTGTTTATTTGCCCTTTAACTGTATGTCAGGAGATGTCTATAAAAGCGGCCAGTCGCAAGCCTCCCAAAAGTTCGTTCTTCCGTGATATATGGCTTGGTGGTTCTTGACCCTTCAGTCACGCTGCTCAAGCACAACGCGCTGCAATATTAAGCGAGAAAACCCAGTATGAAGCGGAATGAGGCTTTTGCATTCTGATGATTTGGTTTACCAGCTGTCTAATGAACTGACCCCAGTAGGAGCGACGCCTCTGCACGCCAACAGCGTGCGCACGCTGTTGTCCCACTCGGTTATAGTGCTAGACGGACGTCACACAGACGACGCGAAGCCTGAAGCTGCTGCGGACATTTGAAGAAAAAGAGTAATCACAAAGCCGAAGCAAGTTCAGGAGTAGCTAACTGAGCGGTGACTACTAGCTGACTGTCACGGCGCCCAGAAACGAACGTCGCTGTTTCACGGACCAGTTTTAGGCCAGCAGAAGCGCAGCCAGAAGATACCTAGCAGAGCGTAAGGGAAATTGGCCTTTAATAAGAATAAGGCTGACGGTTTTAACGGTAGGGAACGGTGAATTGTTCGGCTTTTGCCCCCAGAAAACCCATAGACAACCGCAGCCCACTACGCGAGCAGGGAGACGACGTGCAGTACGTGAGACAGGTTGGCGTCGGCGGTGTTGCCAAACTTGATGCCACCACACCGCATTTGTCCTCATTTAGCCGGAGTTAACCAAGAAAAACATGCTAAACGTGCTTAAAGTTCCCCTTTGTAATGCAATTTTCTGCTTTTCAGCGAAATAGTAACAGCCTTTCACGAGAAACGCCCTTCTGCCGACGCGAGCACTGGTCATGCGCGTGTTAGCAATCACATTAGCAAATACACCACTCGTGAAATCATACAAAATGAACTACGTTAATACTGAGGTAATTAGTGAGGCAGTCGTTCTCTGTGTTCCGTTCATGTCTCTGTGGCTGCGGCGCCGCCTTTACTCAATACGGAATACAAAACTCAGCATTTCGCTTCAAGATGCCGTCGTCAGCAGGGTGGCATGTCAGCTGATTCTCATCAATCAACAACGCTTTATAATCCCTTTTTCATTGATTATTCAGCCTAGAAGGCGGCAGTTTCAAGCTTAGTTTGTACCCCTACTTCATCCTCACAAGTAGTGAACAAGTCTTGACATCAGTACAGCAGTGATATGAAAATTTGCATGTCAGATGAAGTAAAGTTAAGTCACCCTCATTTTTTATCCTCGTTGAGTTCACGCTGAGGGATAGCTTCAGGGCAGCACGTACGGAAGCGCAAGGAGATTTTTGAAGAACGTAGCCCCACTCAAGGCTTACATTTGACAACTGCTAAGCAAGTTTAGCCAGATTTCCTGTTGCTGAATGCCTCGTATTTCTTTTGAGAGTGATACCCCTATTATTACCCTCCTACTGTAAGCAAGGATGCTGGCCTTTGATTTTAGTCCTGTGTTTGTGTCATCTCTGCGCGCTTCAATGGATGGAGGAGATGGAGTTTAATGAGCAGAGGCTAAAATCCATAGGCTAGTTAGGTCCTGACGAATACCCAGCCCTTCATGCGTCCACGCAAATGCCTACCTATGTCCATCTATGTTTGTATATGAATCCACAAATGGACGCCCATGCACACATTCTTTCATGCATATATGTTGTTTGTCTGCATGTAAATTGGTTTGTTCCAACGTGTGAACACAAGGTGGGAAGTCCTGAATGAGGTTCGGCTGTTCTTCTTCGCGTTGGCAATGGGTACCACAACACACAGTACCAGATCAGCTCTAATGAAGGGCTTTGCACTATTCCTACTCCTGAAAATAACATTAACTACTGCATAGCCCTTGATTCTGCACCTTACCCGGTGCTGTAGCGAAATATAGTTGGCATCTGCCCATCCGCAGGCTGCCAGGGCAGCTGACTAAACTACCCCAAGCACGTCAAACAATAGTTTACTTTATTGCTGTCTCATGCTTCAGCTTATCAGACAAGATAGAGGATGCACAGGCGCCACTGTCGGTTCTTCAGCTATTTCCGCTGCACCCCATCAACTGAGGCGCAAGGCGAAAATGCTTCACTGTCTTCAAGACAACTGTTTATCGAAACACCATGCAGCGTTACACTTCTTCGCCCTTCATAGCGCGTGAGAATGTATAAAGAACCCACTTTGGTGAATCTCCAACTCAAAGGCTGACGATTACTTGCCATTCAGGTAGTCCAAAACACCCTTTTTTTCATGTAACCAACACCTGGCGTATGCCTTTACTATTACAGTAGCTCATTTCCCCTGAATCCTGTGCATGCAATTGCTGAAGATCCTCTGCTCATTCTACCATATGAAGCATGTGCGGAGTCGATGCTTTGTGGTACGTACCGGGTCACTGTAGACGAACAGGAAAGCTAATCTCGCCGATTGTTACCGTTATAATGTAGGCAGCGACTACTGAAGCTATTATGTTACTATCACCTACAGACTCTGCTTACACGCCTTGAGTGATTCTTACACACATACAGTTTTGAAGAGCTCGCATGCGTCCCATTTTACAAAAAGACTGTCCATGCTTGACTCTGCACAGCATGATTTCTGGGTCTGTTCTGAGTCACTAACAGTCCCAAGGCCTTATTTAGCATCACCGACGCCTGACCCTTGCCTTGCTGTGCCTTTGCGGTCCTATGCGTGTACCACAGACATTGAAGCGCCAATACTATGACCTTCTTTTGCTCAAACTTCCGGCAAAACAGAAGCCAGAAAGAGAGCAAGGCTGCTGCCCACGCTGATAGGCCTCTAGATGTAGAAGCGTTCAAGTCCACCAGTGTCAACTGTAACACTTGTTGCATGTATTCTCTGCAAGCTCTTACACAGGCCTTGCAACGGCTCTCGGAGGCACAAATACACATTATACGATGAGGTTCACACGGCAATACTATTTCGCCCTGTCAAGCTTAATGTGCAAACAATTACTTTAAATTGTCTGGCTCTCGCCCACAAGCTTTTGGCCTCTGAGGGGAGCCGTTAGACCGCCTCGGAGTGGCAAATTCGTCTCGTCCCTGTGAAGAAGAAGCTAATAACGTAGAGCAATCATGCAGTAAGGGAAGCCAGCTGGTCACAAGACGGGGCCTGCAGATTCCCGTTGTGGTGGCTACGCCGCAAGTTTAGGTCTGAGGAACCCCCCACAGCTGCAGCCGCAGCTGCCAGCTGCAGCTTATGCTGCGTCTTCGAAAGAAGAGACGCATTGAAGCAAACGAGCACAAAAAAGTATACCTTCCCCTCAAAGGTTGCCTCCACATGAGCTAAACTCCGTCCTTAAGGTTCCCCATGTGTCGTTACTGGACGTCAGGCGCTGCAGGTCGCGAACAAATGCCTCAGCAGCCTCAACAGCGGATTCCGACTCCTCAATAAACTTTGAGTGAGTATCTTTCCTGGGCCCCGAAAAGTTCGGTACCTCGGACTCCAGCGCAGCTTCCATGTCCAGCACCGCCGTCGCCAGGCCAGCGCGGCTCAGCCCCTGTCGCAGCGCTTCGCGAGGGCTGTAACGAGCAGACGTGGCAGCGTGAAGCACGAGCTGCAGCAGTTTAAAGGTGAGAACAAGAAAAACAGAAGAAGCGACAGCAGAAAAATATGTGAACAACTAAAATGCCTTCCAATGAGCCTTGAGTGCAAGTTGACCCAGAGAAAAGTATATTGAATTGAAACCAAACCGTGCACAGAATGATATTCCTGTACCTTGTGACATGATGGCAGGATTATAGGCAAATAAGAGTTGACACTGCTCGTGACGCTAGCTAGCTACGTGGCTAGCTAATAGCTCTGTGCGGTCTCCTTTAGAGGGGTTTAACGTTGACTGTCAGATGGCTGACCAGGAGGGTTCTAGCGTGATACTCAGATATTCCAGGTAGAAGCTGCTCTTCTGCGGCGAATGCCTCTCGGGCGGACTGCAGGAGTTTCAGCTGATGAAGGGGAGAGACAGGAGTTGGATGCAGTAGAACCACCGGAGGCCCCTTGCTGTGTCTAGGAAAATCCATCACAACTGCAGCAAAAAAGGAGACACAAATGACACTCCTGCAATAAATATGCTGCTGCTGTTGCTTCTGGGAATAGGTAAGCCGCTGCCTAACCGCATTCCAACTGCATCTGCGCGTAGAGGTGGTTATTGCGTACGCCGCCAAGTGGCGTCCGCAGAAACTGAGACACTTGGGCAAAATTAAGCTCAGCACGCATAGGTGCATCTCACTGCTGCGCAATCGCGTTGCGGCTTCTGCCCGCTGCAGCAGGGGAACCATACGGCTGACGGATTCGACAGAAAAGACCCAAGCAGAATCATGTTGATCGCTGTTCGCCTGTATTGATGAGGTCGCATTGTCAGTTGCAGCAGCAGCTGCTGGGTACAGTTGTTGCAGCTCTGCTAGCTCTGCGAGAAAGAGCAGCATGAGCCCCGAAGGGAACATTGCGCCTCCACCGCCCTTGTCTTTTCATGTTAAGACTGAAGGTCCGCACACAATTGAAGTACTGCCATCTCTCTTTAAAAGAAACCGGAGGAGAGCTTTGTCGTCAGATTTATCTCCGCTAATCTTGAGCGCTGAGGAGCGCTCCACACAGTCAACGCGGAGAGCTGAACGGGCAGACAGCCACGGCGGGAAGCTGTACACAGGGCGTGTTCCCCCTCCTTCAACTGAATCGGATGCACAGATGCTGCATGTACGAGCTCAATCCCTTAAAAAAGTGAATGCATTGAACGAATTTAGCAGGATCGCTTTTCAGCGTAGCCTTTTGTCGGCTCAGGCTGCAGCCCCAAGCGGCCATTCTTGCATACAAGGGTTGTTGTGAAATTGGCTTACATTCAGACAATGAATTTCATATTTGTAGAAAGAATCCATTTCAAGTGAGCCACTCTCTAATATTCCAGCTGCCTCTGTGGCTTGCTCGTTGCGTACCCTCTCTCCAGCGATGTCTGTCACTTTCACCGGGCGCTGTTGCGCTCGTTGTTCCCTTTTACCTTCTCTACGAACGCTATGGCCTGTTGCTGCTGCTACAAAGCAGCAAAGTAGGGGTTTCACTGCACCAGGTGCCCCTAGGGATTCCTCCGCAACAGCGTCGGCCCCATGTGCTGCAGCAGCTGAAGCGTTTCCATTTCTTCGGCAGCAGAAGGATGGAGCCATGGCTGCAGTGCCTCCCACCTTCGGTACCATGGCAGCATCAATGACAAAAGAGGCAGCGGGGAGAGTGCAAGTGGTGCGGGACATGGACTCATTTGAGGCTGAGGTATACAGACAGCCCGCGGCTCCGCTTGCAATCTTCTTCTCTGCCACTTTCAGCAATCTTAATAAAGGCCTTCTTGAGCAGTTTACTCAAATTGCGAAAGCGACCAACAGTGTCGCGAAGTTTCTCGTCATAGATGTCGATGAAGTGCCGAGGGCGGCATACCACTGCGGGGTGAGGCTTCTTTGCAACTCCAGTGTATTTATTAATAGGTTGCAGCACGTATCTGTAGTTTCTGTTGACTTGCGTGCGTGTGTGATTCATGCACTCCTTTTGCGTTTGCATAAGACGCGGTATTTTTTGCACTTCGATTTCGGCTCGTGTTTGCATTTCTCGTGCGCCTAGCCCCCTCCATGTTACATGTAGATATGATGAGCTGCTGCCCTCAGTGATTCTGATGGTTGCGTTTCAGTATGATTGCTGTGAGAAATATGGTTCGTCCGCCTTGCTGATGTGCGAGGTTCTCTTTCAATCGTTTTAGAAGCTAGCTCGCGTGACCAGTTGATTACTTCGCTGCCAGTTCGTTGAATATGACCTCCGCCATTGTCGCTGCCGATTGAACTGCTGCATTACTTGCGTTTTCACTAGATTCGATGCCAGGATTACAATGGCGTTTATTAGAGTGGGGTTCATTGCTGCCACGAATATTGCGAGTACCAGCATTTACCTCGTGCCGTCTCATCGCCTATACTGTTACTATTTTTGGTGGGGTTGCGTACTCAGGTGGAGCACCCCTGCACTTTTGTCGTACAGTACAATTGCGACGCGTTCCGCAGACGCATTGCGGATCCGGATGGCATAAAAACGGTGACCCCTAAACCCTAAACCCTGATATTGGGTCCTAGCTTAGCCCTCAATAGGCATTAATAGACATTTCGCCGTCTTTCACAGCAGGTGAACACCCACATCCCCAGGGCCGTAGATGACTGTAAATATTATGGCTGAAGGCTTGCGGTTGTTTGTTGTCGCCGCAGCCGCAGCAACTCGTGAATGAATTCAAGGCGGCACTGGATGCATGCCTCAGTGCAGTGCAGCAGCAGCCACCGCCGCAGCAGCAGGTGGAGTGGTACACCCACAGCATCCCCGTGGACAACTTGAACGTGTATCGCGTGAACTGGCCAACGGCCTGAACTAAGCTGGAGTTCCATAACTTCAAGCCTAGTCTATGGGGCAGTGCAGACTGGGGTGGTGCTTTTGAATCGGTGCTTCCTCCTGGCCCAGGGTTTCCCAACAGCTGTTTGCAGCCATTTGAATCGTTGTTCATGCTGCATTCTACGGTATATATGTACCCTGTATCAGCGCTAGCAGCAGCAGCAATAGCAGCAGCAACGGCGAGAACACATACGCTCCGCCCGCTGCACTTGAAGCTGCTGTCAGCTGGCTGCTGCTGGGGCCGACTGGCCGCGTGCTGGGAAGGAACGAGATATGAATACGTTTTGAAAAAGAATTTGCTGTGTACAACGGATGGATATCAAAGTGGCGTAAAAAAAAAAACATTGGCTGGCCATGTGTGGCGCATTTTAGTAAATAATGCAGGAGAGACCAGTGAGTGCCCGTTCCACTGTACACTTCAGGAAAGCTAGGAGCTAAACTGCGGGCCTTCTGTGATCCTTTCAAATTGCCTTGAAGACGCCTGCGGAGTCGCAGCCTAGGACTGTTTCCTTGGATTAGGAATGTTTGTGGCTGTCGCTGCTGCCCCACTTGGAGTACGGCTACTGCTGTCAGCTGACGCAATCTTCTTGTCTTTGTCTGCCGCATCTCCAGCGGTGATGCAGAGGGAACCTGCTGCTGCTGCCCCTGCTGCGGCTGTAGTATACCTGTCGTCTATCTCAGGAAAGAATGGCTCCTGCAGAGCAGCCACTAGAGCGCGCACCTTCTTAGGGCCTATCCCTGGGCACTGCTGCAGCTGATGCTGATGCGCCATGAATATATTCCGCATGCATCTGAACTCCTTGGCGAGCGACACGAAGTCGGCACGGTTGACAGAGGGGAGTACTCGCAGAACCTCTGCAGCAACGAGCGCAAGGACCCAATGAACTTGAACGCAAATTGTACATCTATATTATCAAATAAATATTCCCAATGAACTACAACTTAACCGAAGATGCGACGAGCCGATATACTGACCCGAATTGCAAGAAGAGATTCTATATCACAGGGTTATGCGTACACCGTTGATTCTGCTATTCTTCAATTCTGGTGAAGTAATTCGTGAGTTCCGTCCCCCCGTTGTGTGTCTACGTAGAACTAGATATCGACTTGAAATCGGTTCTTCCTCCTTGAAATAAGTTCTTCAGCATCATCATGATCCTATTAAAAGGACTAGAAAATAAGGCTGCATTCTACTCATTTTATTGCAAAGTTTTCCCGACAAGACCCACCCGCACAACGCGGCGCGTGCCGCTCGTCAAGTGTTGGCTGCAAAGAGTCAGAGGCTCTGTTCTCCGAGGCTTTGAGCTGCTGCAGCAGCTCTGCTGCCTCTGCAGGCGAGTTAACTACGAGCAGAATGAATCCATAGTGAAACGCATGCAGAATTACTTGGGCTGAAGAAAAGAGCCGCACAGCACAAGAATCGCAGCAGCAGCGATGCAGGCACCCCAGCTGCTGCGTTAGACAGGAACCACAGAAAACACAGGAAGACTTAAAACACTGCTTGTGACACGGAATTTTGCAAGATGAGCACTAAAACCCAAGTCAACATGCAAAACCGGAAAAAAGCATATCTGCGCGCATCCCCGAGCTCAGCCACTTCCCCCCCTATTTCTCATTTCGTACCTAAGGAGGCATTTGCCCCCTCCACGTCATTAAACAGCAGCAAGAAACGCTTGCTGAGTTCCCTGCGGCGCTGCAGCGGCAGCAGCCGCTGCAGAAGCTGCTTGGGGTGCAGTCTGTGGTACTTGAGGCTCAAGAAGACAACGCAGGCGCCGACGCCCACTAGGAAATCGGGAGCAATTGGCGCGTAGCAGAACGGCACAGAAGAGAAGAATCTGGAGAGGAAGCAGCAAATAAAAGGCAGAGAGAGCCACAGACTGTAAAGGGGTAAAGATATAGATGAGGAAATAACAGGAATGCTGTTTGCGTCGCATCTTGCAATGCATGCGTTGTTGGTTTTCCCTGGCAGGCTCACTTCATGATCGGGTTTGCCTGCTGCCGCAGAGAGGCTATTACCATCTGGCCGGCCTTCGGGTGCGTGAATGTCAAGGCATATTGCGAACGAGACTGAGCGGCCGCTTGCTCCTGCTGCTGCTTTTGGTGCTGCTGTTGCTGCTGTTGCTGCTGCTGTTGTTGCAGCTGTTGTTGTTGCTGCTGTTGCTGCTGCGGCTGTTGCTGCTGCTGTTGTTGTTGTTGCTGTTGCTGCTGTTTCTGCTGCTTCTGCTTTTGCTGTTGGATCTGCTGCTGTACGTGCGGCTGTTGCTGCTGTTGCTGCTTTTGCTGTTGTTGGACCTGCTGCTGTTGTTGCTCCTGCCGTTGTTGCCGCCATTCCAGCGCATCGGCCGCCTGCTGAATAGTGTCTTTGGGCTCTTCTTTGTGCATCTGTGCGAAAAAGTTCGGCTGCAACTTTATATCCAGGGGAGGGCAAACTTATTCCGCCGCATGCAGATCACCTCTTGCCACTCCCGTCTGCTAGGTGGCTGTACGCGGAATCGCTAGTTTATTTTGTTGGAGCTAAGCGCAGGTGTACTTAATGGATCATTTTAGTGGGAAAAAACTAGAGTACGTTCCAACCAAAGGCGAAGCGCATCAATGCGCGCACAACAGCGATAGCTCGATCCCTCGATACCCCATGACTGCTTAGACACGAAACAAACTCCTTGTCTTCAAAGTCCAATAAACCAAGTTTGAATTTGAATTTTATGCATGAGCGATTTTCAATCGGCTACTGAGCGTGTAACGTCTGAGGCTATATTTCGACTGAGTAAGAAGCCCCAGGAAGCCTGGACCAGTTTGTTGTAAATTTTGTTTGGGTTTCCAACAAAAAAAGAAAATGCAAACCCTCTAGTTAAAAGATATTGGCAGTGATATCTATGGAATGTTTTAAAACTTTTTAGAAGGTTATCAGCGACGAGCAGCCCCTACGCTCTACAGCATACCCATCAGCACCCCGATGGTGCGCCCTGTACACAGCTGCCATAACGGCGGATTTGTTCTCCTTGAAATTACTCAGCTACACTAAACTCCTAAATTCCGGCTTTTTTCCTCCTTTTCTGTTTATTATCTCCCTTGTGGAAAACGGACAATGGTAAGCAGCCTGCACGCTCTAGCGCGCATCGGCGTGACTTGAAACTGAAGCTAGAGTCTGCTGAAGTAACGATGCATGCAAGAGGCTAGTTTGTCCATATCAACTAGACTTGTAATGTCTTAGGACTTATGAAGCTTCTTTAAGTCGCTTTCATTCTCATTAGCTCGTTCGCGGTGTTCCTCTTCGGTGACTCCTGCTAGAGGTGACCTCACGTTGGTGAGGGACTTGCTGCTGCTACTAAACTTTGCGCGATCTGTCGATTTCGCTGTTCAGGAGCTTCCTCAAGATATTGCAAAGGAGTTGGCGGCCACAGCGAAAGCCATTGCGGCTCCTGGAAAGGGCATTCTGGCCGCCGACGAATCCACAGGTGCGTATTCCACAAGCAAGCCCTGCTATTGCTTTCATCCACGGGCTAAGTAGCAGAACCAACATTTCCTTCACCATTTTAGAAAGTGCTGAAGCCTCACTAGCTGGCTCCTGCTGCGCCTCCTTGGTATCTTAGGCACAATTCAAAAGCGTTTCGACAGCATTAAAGTGAAAAATGAAGAATCGAACAGGGCGGCATACAGGGACCTTTTGTTCTCGACGGAAGGTCTGGGGCAGTACATCTCGGGCTGCATTCTCTTTGAGGAAACGCTGTATCAGAAGAACCAAGCGGGAGTTCTGATGGTGGACCTGCTGAAGAAGCAGGGCATAATCCCGGGCATAAAAGTCGACAAAGGTCTGGAAACGATTCCCCGAACTGACGACGAGAAAGCCACCATGGGCCTGGACGGCCTGGCGGAGCGCTGCAAGAAGTACTACGCCGCAGGGGCGCGTTTCGCAAAGTGGCGCGCAGTGCTGTCCATAAACCCCAGCCAAGGCAAACCCTCAGATCGATCCATTGCTGAAGTGGCCTACGGCTTGGCTCGGTACGCAGCCATATGCCAGCAGAACCGACTTGTGCCGATTGTGGAGCCCGAAATCCTCACCGACGGCTCCCACGACATAGCCACCTCCGCACAAGTCACGGAGCGGGTGCTGGCGGCTGTCTTCAAACAACTCAATGACCAGGGAGTGCTGCTGGAGGGGGCTTTGCTGAAGCCCAACATGGTCACCCCGGGCTCTGAGTGCCCCAGCAAGGCGAAGCCCGAAGAAATTGCTTTCTACACTGTCCGCGCGCTGGCCCGCACAGTGCCCCCCGCCCTCCCGGGGGTCACTTTCTTGTCGGGGGGCCAGTCCGAAGAAGAGGCTTCCCTGAACTTGAACGCAATGAACCGCATGGGGCCCCACCCCTGGGCGCTGACCTTCTCGTACGGCAGGGCCCTCCAGGCCTCCACGCTGCAGGCCTGGGCCGGCAAGCCCGAGAACAAGGCCAAGGCGCAGGAGGTGTTGCTGCAGCGCGCCAAGGCCAACAGCGAGGCGCAGCTGGGCACTTACGGGGGCGACGCTACAAACGCCGCGGCCAACAAGTCTCTCTTTGAGAAACACTACGTCTACTAAGGGAATGGTGCTGCATTAGGAAGCCAGCAGAGAAAAATTCGCCGCTTTTATGTTCTCTGCGGGCCCTAGTGGCTCTCTGTGGCACTCCGCTGTAGGGGAGGCGCAGCACATAAGGTCCCTTGACGTCTTCCTGCAATCAAATCCCCCATTTTCGCCTCTTTGCTTTCGTTGCTTCGATTTTCTGCAATTTTTGCATTATCTCAGATTTCCCAACTTGCTAGTCGCTGACTGACTGGCGCCAATCCCGGCTTTGCTGGACTCTCCGCCTTAAATGCATTGGTGAAATGCTGATCCCGTTTGTTGTTCAAACAATTTAGCTAACTTCATCCTTTAGTTATCCAGTACTTCATTCGTAGCCTTACTGCCCTTGCTTATTCCTTACAAATCAAATGCTACCTATAGAGTCTTACTAGGAGCCCATGCACCGTTTCACAGCATTGCCTTGCTGTTATTGGATTGATATGAATAGCCAATGACTGGAAAACATAGACTGAGCCCACCCAAAAACCAAAACGCCTCTGCATGGGAGCGCAGCATTGTCAGTATTAACTAGCTGCGATGAAACATTTGAGCGTATGCTACTCTGCTGCCTTTGCTGTTGCTGGTGCTGGTGTTGCTTTTGCTGTTGGTACTACTTCCAGCATTGCTACTGCTAATGCTGCCGTTGTTTCTGTAGCTAATGCTTCTCGTGGATCTGCTGCTGCCACTATTTCCGGAGTTGTTGCGGCTAGTTCTGCCGTGGCTACCGCAGTGACCACACGTAAGTGTTTCCGTGCATGGGGGGCTCGTGGCGCAGCCACCATAAATCGCAGCGAGTGAAGAGCAATTGTATGCTTTCGAATGCATTTATTGTTGCTATTTAATTGCATTTTCTGCGAATGACCTCCTTAGTCTCAGGTCCTTGCTGCCTCGCCTGCCGCTACGTGCATACCTGGCTGCTTGCTTGAACGACAAAGGCGTCTATAATAGCTTAAACAGTTAGCCATCAGAGACAAAAGAAGAAGAAATTAAAATGCAAGGAAGTGCAGGAAATCTGGAGGCAAAATTCATGAACAGTGTTCAGCCAAGTGAAGATGTAGAAACTTGGAAGAATACATGCAGACAATAGGAATGTGCGCGTGCCACGTGCATAAACTTACATTGACTTGCATGCGCAAGACGTGACGCGCATATGAAATATATAAAGTTGTATTAATTTATGCATATCAGCGCACACTGATGAGCTTGCGCGCAGCACTGGGCCTAAGGGAAGTCAGAAAAGTCTGCTGCATTTTTAGCCTAAGCTGGGTCTGTAAACATGCAACTCCACGAACAAATGATACTCCCTATTTTCCATCAGTGCTTTGCCTCTCCGTCTTCAAATAAGAAGCGCGAAGAGGGTTCAGCATGCTGCACCTGCGGCAGCAGCTAGTTGTGTGAATGCTGTTGCAGCATCCCGCGCAGCAAATGGCGTTGCTGCAGCACCGGCTTACTGCCTATTGCTTCTCTAGCGCTAAGAGTGCTTCTTCTATTCTGCTCGCTAGCTGCTGCCCTTCAAATTGTCTTTGCAAAAAACTGTGAGTCAGTGCCTCTTCCAGGGTGAGGCGCTCCGTAGGGTCGTAGGCCAGCAGGCGACGTAACATGTCCTGCAGCAGCAGCAAGAGCAGCAGCAGCAACAAAAGCAGCATCACAAACAGCCGCCTGACGAGATACAGTGCTGAGCGCTGTAGCAGCAAACACAAATGCAGCAGCAGCTGCTTTTGCAGCAGCTTAGAGGACACGTGCGAAGACAACTGATTGTCTGTTGCCAACAACCCAAAAGGGCACGCAGAACTGCATCTATCACCACTCCGTTGAGTATTTGCTGCTACTGCTGCTGCTGCTGTTGCAGGCGGGCCCTCACCTTAGCTGCCTCTGAAATCTTCCGGGGCCCTGTAGGAATATAAAGACCTTTTTTCGCATCAGAGATAATTTGATCTGAAGAAACAAGCACAACAGGAGCCACAGTCGGATGCAGGGACACCACCAGCAGCAGCAGCAACAGCAAGAGAAGCAGCAACCGCAGCAGCAACCGCAGCAGGCTGCGCAGCGAGAATAGCCACACAGGTCACAGGTCGGTGTACCTGAAGGATCCACTTGATCTGGGCGAAGGCCGCGACAGAACGGCCTCCTGCAGCAGCAAACGCAAACAGCAGCAGCTGCTGCTGCAGCAGCGATGTGGTGCCGCAGCAGCAACTGGTTGCCATAGAAGCAACAGCAGCGGCAGCAGCAGCTCGCCGCTGCTGCCACCAAAGGGGGACTTACTTGTTGAAGAGCATCTCGTACAGGATACAGCCGACAGCCCAAATGTCAATCTGCACGGGCAGCAAAACTCAAACAAAATCCTAGTGTACCAGCAGGCACAGCAAGAACAGCTGCAGCAGCTGCATCTTGCAGCAGCAGCAGCAGCAAGCCAGCGGGTTTGCACGTAGGCAGGTCTTTGCTAGGGGCCGCGGTGTTGCTGCAGCAGCAACCCAGGAGGGCAAAAATGCTCGTAGCAGCAGCGGCAGAAGCAGAAGCAGCAGCAGCAGCAGCCGTACGCGCAGCTACATACCTTCTCATCTGCTAGCACCACCAAGGGCGTCTGCTGCTGCGGCTGCTGCTCCGTTGCAGCGAGTTCGTCCTTGATTTGTTCGCCATTGGCGCCAGGGTGGATTTGCTGCTGCTGCTTGCGTTGCTGCTGCTGGCGGAGTTGCTGCTGCTGCTGCTGCAGCAGCAAACACTCCGGCGGCTGGTACCACAGAGTGCCCCCCCCCGTAAAAGGCCTGGACTCTCCTTTAGGAACGAAGCAGCTCAACCCAAAGTCCGCCAACTTGCAGTCCCCTTCTTGCAGCAGCACATTTCCCGGCTTCACGTCCTAAGCCCCAAAACGCATGCAAAAGCGCATGCAAAAACGCACGCAGCAAATGCATGCAACGCATCCAGCAGGTGCATGCAGCGCATGCAGCAGGCAAGTGGCAGCAGCTGCATCTGGGGGTGGGCGCGCATTGAAGGAGGAGAGGCGAACTTCTAGGGTTTAGGGTTGCAGCCTCCAAATTGGGGTTTAGCGTTTAGGGGTTCGCTGCACTTCAAATCTCCCGGCTCCCTCTTAACTTCTAGGTGCGAGGGTTTCTTTGAGGGTTTAGGGTTTGGGGCTTACGAAGTGACAAATGCGAGGGTTTCTTTCAGGGTTTAGGGTTTGGGACTTACGAGGTGATAAATGCTGCCGTTGGGCTGGTGTTTCAAATAGTGCAAAGCCCTGAGAAACAAAAAGCTGCGCTTAGACACAGGGCCTGGCTAGCCTGTCTAGCTTGCTAGCCTGGCTAGCTAGCTGACTTGCTGGCTAGCCGGTAAGTCAGCTAGCTCGGCGTCGACCAGCGAGCTAGCTAGCTAGCTAGCTAGCTAGCTAGCTCCGGGAGAGGAAGCATGCAGCTAGCCAGTCACTGGCCTTGCTCGCTAACAGCTTTAGATTTTTCTGCTCAGTTTTGCTGAAAAACAGCCTAGGGTTCCGAGTTCTTAAACTAGGGTTTAGGGTTTGGGGTTTTGCATACTGCAGTATTTGCCGAATCCAGCGAGCCGCAAGAGGCTCCTCAAGGGGCCCAGAGATCTTCAGGTAGTGATCAAGGTCCCCCCCTACGTAGGCAAAGCATACAACCTAACACGCAGCTTCTGCTGCTGCTGCCGCTGCTGCTGCTGCTGCTGCTGCTGTCGCTGCAGCAGCAGCAAAGAGACAACTGAGGCCCTTCCGCTGCCAGTAAGTGGCTGCAGACAATCAGCGGTTGGGCTGCGCCTCGACACAGGAAGCTTGGCACTGAGGCTTTGTGCTTGGGATAATAGCAGTTTACTCGTTAGGGTTTAGGGTCTAGGGTTTAGGGTTTCGGACCTTCGCAGAACTGAAGAATGCTGGCGAGGACGTCGTTGCCCATTTCGAAGCAAGCTTTCATTTCTACGATCTGTGCCGGAAACCGTAAACTCTAAAGCCCAAGGCTTAAACCCCCTCATATCCCAATGCTGCGCCCCAAACCCTAAACCCTAAACACCAGGGCCGAGCAACCCACCCCCAAAATAAGTCCCAGACACTGCGGGCGAAGCTCTGCTTGCTGCGTGAGCTAGAGGGTTTCAGATGTAGAAACTAGGGTTTAGGGTTTGTTGAATTACATGCGGGTGGGGCCTGATGTCTTTGTGAATTTCAATTTCGTTTTGAACTCTCTTTACAATTTTGAGTCTTTCCTTTTCTCTTTTCACGGAAGACAAAACGTGCAGCTTGGCAGCAGCCACGGAGCAAGTCAGGGGGTCGAACACCTGCGCGCCGGCAAACCGTAAACCCTAAACCCTAAACCCTAAACCCTACGCCCCAGCCGTAAACCCTAGGCCCGTAGCGCCCACTAGCTGCAGGCAGAAAGCTCAGGAGGCAAAGAGGGAAGCAGTAAAAAGGGAGACAAAAGGGGACAAAAGAAGCAGCAAAATGACGCAGAGGGTCTGCAGCAGCAGCCTTAGCAGCTGCAGCCTAGAAGAGGGCTAAAGCTGCAGCAGCGAGGGTTTAGGGATTAGGAGAAGCGGTTAAGACTCACTTCCCAAACCTCCGCAAAACCACCCCTGCCCAGCATGTTAAGCAGGCGGTAGCCTCTCCTGAGCTGGTGGAAGTTACTGAAGGGAGAATTTGACTGCGCACAAACCCTAAACCCTAATTCCTAAACCCTAAGCCCTAAACCCTAGCCTTTCCGCCCTTCGCCCTACACCCAAAACCCCAAACCCTCAACGACTTGGTCTTGCCTGTGCCAGCAGCAGCTTCATCTGCTTTAGGAGACGGTAGCGGCCGGCGTCCAGCTGCCTTTTGGCTTCCAAGAGGAGGCGATTGAGCTGCAGCAGCAGCAGCAGCAGCAGCAGCTCGCCAGCAGAAGAAGCAGCAACCGCAGCAGTAACAGAACACTGCCTTAAGAAATTAACTTACTTGAAGAATGTTAGCAACAAGATCTGGAGGCGAGTTGTCTTTGCTTGCAAGGCGCAGCAGCGCGAAGAGGGAGGTCTGCAGGCCAGAAAGACACCCAGCAGCGAGCCCCCCAAGCCCTAAACCTAAACCCTAAACCCTAGACCCTAAACCCCAAACCCTAAACCCTAAACCTTAGCCCAAGGCCCTAAAGCCTTCAGGGCAAAGTGCCGCGTACCTCCAAGTGCAGACACTCAGTGAAGAGAGAACCGTCTCGGTAAGGGTCTTGGCTTGGAGGGACGACTCTGCACCGCACACCCTAAACCCTAAACCCTAAACCCTAAACCCTAAAATTTGAGCTTGTTGCTGCATCTACATCTTTGCATGCTCTGTCGTCTGAGCGAGTCGCTACAGGGCCATGAGTAACTTTGCAGGAAAGGATTCAGGCTAGCAAGTTAGAGCTGGTGTTCAGAATTTAAGTGATAGATCTACGGTTTAGGGTTTAGGGTTTAGGGTTGAGGGTGTAGGGACTGGGGTTCGAGCATTACGTTCTGTCGGTGCGTCGCTCGTCGAGCCAGGACAGCTGCTGCAGCGCATCTGGACTTAAGACCGCAGCAGCAGCAGCAGCACTGAGGAGAGCAGCGTATTTGCCAATTGCTGCTGTTCCGTTTGCTGCTGCTGCTGCTGTTGGTGTCCGCTCATCTCGCTGCAGCAGAGGTGCTGCAGCAGTATCGCCGCGCCAGTTGCTGCTGTTGCTGCTGTTGCTGCTGCCAGTGCTGTTGCTGCTGTTGCTGCGGCTGTTGCTGCTGCTGCTGCTGCTGCTGCGCCAGCTATTGCGGCTGTTGCTGTCCCAGTCATTTCGTCTGCAGCTGCTGCTGCCTTGAAGACAATCCCACGAGTCGCTCGGTGCTGCTGCGCATGTGTCCACACCACCCGGCCCACAAGTTGCAGCAGCAGCAGCAGCAGTTGCTGCTGCTGCTCTCTTTGACGGGTTGTAGCTCATGTGGTTGCTGCCCTCTGGATCAGCTGCGCTATGCTGCAACACAGCGGTCTCAGATTCTGCAGCAGCTGCTGCAGTTCCTGCTGCTGACACTTGCATTGACCCCTTTTCGCTGCCGCTGCTGCAGCACTGCGGGGGCTCTTCCTGCGCAGCAGCAGCAACCAGCAGCAGCGACCGCGCTGCAGCTGAGTCAGTTAGCAGCCAGGCTGTCCCTGGGGCTGCTTCGGTGCAGCATTAGGGTTTAGGGTCTAGGGTCTAGGGCTTAGGGTTTGCAGTTTGCGCTCACCTCCATCATAAGGCTGGAGCTTTCCAGGGTCTGCTTCAGAGCAGACTTTGTTGCTGCAGCTGCTTCCACTTGCTGCTGCTGTTGCTGCTGCTGCTGCCCGGTCAGAACTGGGAGCACTGACCTGCTGCAGCCTGCAGCAAGTGTCTTCACGTCCGTGGTGTTCCGCGGCTTTTGCTGCTGCTGCTGCTGCAGCTGCTGCGGCAGCTGCTGCTGAGCAGCAGCAGTAAGATTCATGGGGCGAATCACCAGGCTCAACCCATTCGAAGTGGCCCTTTCTCCAGCAGCAGCAGCAGCAGCACCCCCAGTCTCCGCTACGCCGGTGCGCCTGAAGAGCTTTCCTTGCTGCTGCTGCTGCTGCTGTTGCTGCATGGGCTCAGCTGCAGCGCTGCAGCGACGCTTCAGCGGTGGCAGTCGGGGAGCAGCTGAGGCGTCTGCATGGACAAAAAGCAGCCCCAAACCCTAAATCCTAAACCCTAACACTTCACCGTGGAAATTAAACCCTAAACCACGAAGTCGCAGCAGCGACGCCTGAGCTCACCGGCTAGGCTGGGAGCGGCTCTTCGTTGCTGCTGCTGCTGTTGCTGGTTTTGGCGGTGCTGCTGGTCCTGCTGCTGCTGCGTCGGCCTGCGCTTTTGCTGCTGCTGCTGCTGCTGCTGGCGCCGCTGCTGCAGCTGCTGGTGCAGCTGCTGGTGCAGCTGCTGCTGCAGCTGCTGCCGCTCCGCAGCCCTCTCGTCCCCAGAGGAAACTGAGTCAGCCAGGACTTGCTGCGTCTCAACTAGCAGCGCCAGAGCATCATCAAGGGCTTGCTGCTGCTGCTCCAGCCTTTGCTGCAATACGTGGGGCTGCTCCAGCTGCTTCTGTTGCTGCTGATGCTGGCTCGGCTGACGCAGGAGCAACGCAGCAGCCTGGCGCCCGATGTGCCGCAGCAGCAGCCGACGTTGCTGCTGCCGCTGCCTGCAGCAACACACAGGGCCAGCAGCAGCAGCAGCATTAACAGCAAAGCCGCGATAAGCTTTGGCCCTTAGTTCGGGGGAGGACATGCCTTGCCACACTTGCAGCTGCAGCAGCAGCTGCTGCAACAGCAAGTTCCGACACAGCAACGGCAGGATGCTAGCAGCAACATGAACAGCAGCAGCAGCTGCAGCAGCTGCAGCAGCAGCTGCGACTCAGTTTGCTATACATGCACAGCCTGCTGCTAACAGCGAAGCACTTGTTGGTCTTTCACAAGGCAAAGATTCACTCTGCAGCAGCACTTCCTAAGTGACAGCAGCAGCAGTAAAGGGAGGAAGAGCAACAAGAGCAGCAGCGACAACAGCAGCAGCGACACCACTAACAAGCGCAGCAAGTGCAGTAGCAGCAAGTGCAGCAGCAGATACGACATCAGCGGCAGCTGCCACAACAAACGAAGGGGCATCAGGAGCAGCAGCGGCAGCAGCAGCAGCAATAGCAGCAGCATCAAGAGCAGCAGCAGCAGCAACAGCATGGCCCAACCTCTTCTTGTGGAGTTTTCGCTGCAGAGCCCTCAGCTCGTGCTGCTGTTTCTCGAGCCTCTTTCTGTCCCCTTTGCATGCTTCTGACTTTTGCTGCGCCTTGATTCGGTAGCGGTCCAGTTCTTGCTGCAGCTGGTTGACTTGCTGCTGCTGCTGCCGCTGCAGCACCTGCTGCTGCTGCTGCAGCTGCAGCAAAAACGCTCGACGCATGCGGTGGTGCTCGCCGCTCCAGTCAGCAAAGACGTCGCGGCGTCCATACACCCGAGAGCTTTGTTCGTACAGCACCATGCGCTGCTGCCTCTCGACCTGCAGTAGCAGCAGCAGCAGCAGCAGGGAAGCAGCAACAGCAGCAGCAGCAGGCAGACACACGCACACAAAACACACAAGCGGTAGCTCCGGCTGCTGCTGCTGCTGCTGCTGCTGCTGCGCTGGGCCTCGCGAAACTTGGTATTTGCACAGTTGTGCTGCAGCTGCTGAGGCCGCATCACGTGCTGCAAGTATTGTATATTCCTTCTTCGCTGCTGCTGCTGCTGCTGCTGTTGCTAGTGTTTTGGAGCAGCAAGTGCTGCGGTGCTACCTCCTTGGCTTCGGCGAGAAGGCGCCAAAGAAGGCGAGGCAGTTTGTGCGTCCTTGATGCGAGCTGGCGCTGAGATGCCTGCAGCAGCAGCAGCAAAGGCAGCAGCAGCAGCAGCAGCACAAACGCAGCAGCGACAGCAAACGCAGCGCCACATGCAACTCAGGCAGCAAAAGCAAAACTTGAGGGTGCAGCGTCAACAACAAACGAGAAACGAGCCGCTCCCCGAGCCGCTCCATTCCCTGTGCAGCAGGAGCTGCAGCAGGCACAGCAGCAGCAGCAGCAGCAGCAGCAGCAGCAGCAGCAACAGCAGCAGCAGCGCACTCTCTGTGTCTTGATCTGCTCCGTGAGGGCAGCCTCGACGGTCTTCGCTGTCTCTCTTTGCTGCGCCAGAGTTGCAGGCCAATGCCAGCCAGCTAGCTGCGCCTCCTCGGGAGTCTTGCTGCTGCTGCTGCTGCTGCTGCTGCTGATGCTGTTGCTGCTGCTGCTGGCTGCCTGCTGCTGCTGCTGCTGGCGATCTTCAATAAGAAAAGCATAGCGTTCAGCGAGCCGCCGCCGTGCTGCCTGGAGCCTCTCTTCTGCGACAGCTTGAACCCCTGCTGCTGCTGCGGTTGATGCTCGGGCCGGTGCTGCTGCTGCTGGCGCTGCTGCTGCTGCTTCTGTTGTTCCTGATGCTGCAGCTGCCAACTGCTGCTGCAGCTTCTCAGGCAGCCTCTGAGCCTCCAGCAGTGCCGCTATGTTACAGCGCCACTGCTGCAGAAAGAGGGCTTGACGGGTGGTTAAGGAGCAGCTGGGGTTAGCTGCTGCTGCTGCTGCTGCTGTGTCTGCTGCTGCTGCTGCCACTGCTGCAGACGAAGGGGACACAGCAGTCTCAGCTGATGCGGCTTTAGCAGCCTGCTGCTGCTGCTGCTGCTGCTGCTTGTGGATCAGGATCCAGGTGTGCCGTGCCGGATCAGCAGCAGCAGCAACCTGCCGACTGAAGCGGCGCCCCAGCTCCGCTGCTGCTGCTGCTGCTGCTGCTGCTGCTTTTCCTGGTGTACATATATCTGCGGAAGTGACACCGGGGAAGCAAATGTTGAGGGTTTGAGCGGCTGCAGCACGAAAGGCTGGCGGCAGTATGGGGTGCGCCTTCCAAGAGCAGCGTCTGCTGCTGCTGCTGCTGCTGCTGCTGCTGCTTTCTCCTGATGCAGGCAGCGGAAATGACCCTGTTGGAGGATAAGCATCTCCTGCGGACCAGACGCAAGCAAAACCCTTGCCCTAACCCTAAACCCTAAACCCTAAACCCTAAACCCTGATTCTGAGCAAGCATCGAACTCCCCTAGGTGCTTGGAGCAAAGGGTTTAGGGTCTAGGGTTTAAGTTTAGGAGTTGGGGCTAGGAACCTGTCACTGTGTTGACGAGGGCCAAGTCCGTTTTCCCCCTTTCCGCGAGCAGGCGCACAAACATCCCATGTTGCCGCTGCTGCTGCTGCGGCAGCTGCTGCTGCTGCTGTTGCTGCTGCTGCTTATCTGCAGCAGCAACAGCTGCAGCCGCCCCTTCTGGCGGCATTTCCTCACATGACCAGCAGCAACAGTGGCTCTAGCATTGCTGGGAGCAGCAGCAGTTGCTGCTGCTGAAGCAGTTTCGGCTGCTGCTGCTCCTGGGGCCTGCAGCTGCTGCTGCTGTTGCTGCTGGAGTTTCTGCTGCTGCTGCTGCTGTTGCTGCTGAGGCTCGATTCGAATGCTATAGTGGGGTCTTGCCACGCAGGCACTCCTGCACTGTCTAGTGTTTAGGGTTTAGGGTTTAGGGTTTAGGGTTTGAGTCAGCCGGCAGAGACTTGAAGGGTTTAATGGTCTAGTGTTTCATCCGGAGGGTTTAGGGTTTCTTCACTCCGTAGAAGGCGGCCAGACAACGGCAGCCGACACGGGGGTGTTACTGCTACTGCTGCCGCTGTTGCTTCAGTTGCTGCTGCTGCTGCTGCTGTTAGTAGGAATTAGCATGTGTCAATGTTTTTGTTTCTGTTTTCAGTGTCTTCAACTAAGTATTATCATTTGCTGCTGACGCCGCCTCGGCAAATCTGCTGCTATAGGGAACACCTTCAGTAACACTCGCTGCATGCAGCAGCAGCCGCAGCAGCAGCAGCAGTAACTGCAGCAGCAGCAGCTGTCAAACTTTAAGTCGGCTAGCTCTACAATAACTTTTTTTGTTTTGCAGCAGATGCGCTTTCTTCTCCAGCATGCTCTAAACCCTAAACCCTAAACCCCAGTACGCAAACCCTTCTCTCCCTCTGGCCCAGTTCCCGCAGCAAGTCAAAATGAAGAATGCTCAAATGCTGCAAGGTAAGAATCCAAGTATTCCGCGGCAGCAGCAGCAGCAGCTACTGCTGCTGCTGCTGCAGTGTGGGTTTGAAACGCTGCGCACGCTGCTGTTCGCACCGTCGCTGCTGCAACTGCAGCTGACGCCGCAGCAACCAACGATGCTGCAGATGCCGCAGCACAGTTGTTCCTGCTGCTGCTGCTGCTGCTGCTCCTCCGAGTCCTTCTGGGCCCGCAGCAGCTGTATATGTTGCTGCTGCTGCAGCTATTATTGCTCCTGCGCCTCCCAGCCTTTTAGTTCTTTGCTGCAGCAGGCGGCCTAGCAGCTGGCGCTGCATCTGCTGCCTGTTTTGCTGCTACACTTGTGCTGCTGTGCTGTGCAAATGCTGCTGTTGTGCTGCTGCTGCTGTTGCTTCTCTGCTGCTGTTGCTCCTCTGCTGCTGCTGCTACTTGGCTGCTGCTGCTACTCTGCTGCTTCTGCTGTTACTCTCCTGCTGCTGCTGCTGCTACTTTGCTGCTTCTGCTACTCTGCTGCTCCTGCTACTCTGCTGCTGCTGCTGCTCTGCTGCTGCTGCTGCTGCTGCTGCAGAGCCCCTGGACATAGCTCGTCTATCTGTGGAGGAAAAGGTGTTTGTGAAGTGCAGAGGCGAGCGGCAACTCAAGGGCACTCTCCACGTACGAACAGCTGCTGCTGCTGCTGCTGCTGCTTTGCTGCTGCCGCTGCTGTTTCTGCTGCTGCTTTGTTGCCGTTGCTTCTGTCATTCCGCAGCAAATACCTATTTGCACTGTGGCCGTCACATTTTGCTTCATCTGTTTGGCTCTTTTGCTGCTTTCGAGTGCTGCAGCAGCCGCTACTGCAGCAGAAGCAGCAGCCACTGCTTCTCCAGTAGATGCAGCAGCAGCTGCTGCTGCTGCACCAGGTGCACAGTTGCTGCAGCAGCAGCAGCTATGCACTTCGCGGCTCTGTTCTTTTGTTGGGCTAAACAGTTGTACTGCCTTTCTGTCTGCGTGCAGCCATTGGCTGAAACGCTAAGCCCTAAACCCTAAACCCTTTTTTGTGGTTTGAGGTTTGCGCTTTTGTTGCAGTCCTATGATGTCCACCTAAATCTGGTCCTCGCAGACGCAGAAGAAACCCTCACTGTCGTCGACGACGCCACCAACAAGCTCTCCGTAAACCCTAAACCCTAAACCCTAAACCCTAAACCCTCGACTTGGTCTTCTAGTCTCTAAACCCTACTGCCTGGCCGCCACACTCGAGGACTTCGAAAGAAGGCAACGGCCAGAGCCCGTGTCCCTCAGTTACCTTCTTTGGCTCTCTTCCCTAGGGTTTAGGGTTTAGGGTTTAGGGTTTGCGGTGTGGGGTGCAGAAAACAGTGCGTAAATTGCCCCTCATATTTGTGAGGGGAGACGCAGTAGTTCTTCTCTCTCCCCTCAGCACTTGAGCAAAGTCAAACCCCACACTGGGATCGTCTCCCCGATCCCGGGATAGATCGATCCCGGGATCGTCTCCCGCTGCTGGGATCGTCTTTCCCGACCCTGGGATCGTCTTTTTCGATCCTGGGATCGTCTTTTCGGTCCTGGGATCGTCTTCTTCGATCCCGGGATCGCCTCGCTGCCATTTTGGGATCGTCCCCGAGTGTGGGGTCAGGGATCGTCTCCCCACAGCTGGGATCGCCTCCCCACAGCAGCATGCACGCTTCCTGCCCTTTGCTGCTGCTGCTGCAGCTGCAGAAGCGGCAGGAACAGAGGGTTTTAAGTACCTTTCGCTGACGCCTCCAGAACTCTCGCTGCTGCTGCCGTCTTGCTGCTGCTGCTGCCGCCTTGCTGCTGCTGCTGTCTTGCTGCTGCGGCTGCTGCAGCTGCAGTGCAGCAACTTCATGTGCGACTTATGCAGCTTTGTCGCTGCTGCTGCTGTCTTTGGGACTGCTGCCAATGCTGTTGCTCCCAGTGCTGCTGTTGCTGCTGCTGCTGCTGCTGCTGCTGCTGCCCTGAAACTCTCGGTAGGCAACGCGGGCCAACTGCATGCAGCCGGTTAGTGCCATTGCGACGTTAACTGAGCAGCCAATCGCCTCCAAACCCTAAACCCTAAACCCTCAAGCTGCTGCACAGATTTGCGCTGCTGCAGCTGCTGCTGCTGCTGCTGCTGCTGCGCTAACCGAACTGCCTACTGCAGTCTGTACGGGGGCACAAGGCTGCAGCTTGCTGCTTAGGGTTTACAGTACATAGGGTTTAGGGTTTAGGGTTTAGGGTTTAGGGTTTACCACTGAAAAGGTTCCAGTTCTTAGGCGTAATTACCATGCTGTACCTCGACCAGATAATGCCCGTAGCTGCCACAGCTGCAGCAGCAGCAACAGCAGCAGCAGCAGCAGCAACAAAATGCAGAGCGTGCCTTGTGAGGGCGGCGCATAAAGCAGCAGCAAGAACAAGAGAAGCAGCAGCAGCTGTTGCGCTCTCTGCCATAAAGCAGCAAAAGCACAACCAGCAGCAACACTGAGTGCAGCAGCAAAGCGGACGCAGACCCCAAGCTGCAGCAGCAGCACCAGCTCCAGCAGCAGCGCTGCAGCAGCAACAGCCCAGCAGCAACAGCACCAGCTCGCGCAGCCCTGCAGCAACAGCAACGGCTTCAGCAGCAGCAGCTCGATCCTTAGCTGCAGCGCAGCAGCAACGCCATTCCCAGCAACAGCGCAGCAGCAACCCCATCCTCAGCAGCCGCGCAGCAGCAGCACCGCCCCAGCAGCAGCACCACCCCCAGCAGCAGCACCATCCCCAGCAGCAGCGCAGCAGCAGCAGCAGCAGCAGCAGCAGCACCGATTTGCTGCGCAGGCGAGACTCCGGCGACGTCTTTGTCGAGCATGTCGATTAAATTGGCGATGGAAATTCCCCACTTGAAAGTTGGGGCCCAAAAGTGAATGGTGAAGGGCCCCGCGGGGTGGCCTGTGCGCAGCAGCAAACGCAGCAGCAACCTGCTGCTGCTGCTGCTGCTGCTGCTGGGGGTGCGGCGCGGGCGCGGGCTGCTGCGCGCGAGGAGGAACGTGGCAGTGGACGGGAGGCACTGCGGCTGCTGCAGGTTTGCTGCTGCTGCTGCTGCTGCTGCCGCTGCCTGCTGCTTCTTGCGCGTCCGCTGCTGCTGCTGCTGCTGCCGCTGCCTGCTGCTTCTTGCGCGTCCGCTGCTGCTGCTGCTGCAGCTCTCGCTACTGTTGGAGGGTTTAGGGTTTGGGTTTAGGGTTTAGGTTCCGGGATTTAGGGTTTGGGACTTACTGATGAAGTCCTTCGCCTTCTGCGGCAGCGGCAGCTGCAGGGCGCGGCGCTGCAGCGCCGGGGCTATTCCAGGAAAGAAGAGAGAGCGGCCTGCTGCTGCTGCTGCTGCCATTTTGGTTTGCTGCTGTCCCTGTTGCGGCTGCTGCTGTTGCGTTGCTGCTGCCGTGTCGCTGCTGCGATGCTGCGGCTGCAATGCTGCTGATGTTGCTGCTGCTGCTGTGCTGCTCCTGGTGTGCTCCTGCTGCTACTGCGGTGGCTGCTGCTGCTGCTGTGCTGCCGCGCTCCTGCTGCTGCTGCTGCTGCGGCGCTGCTCGGCCGTGTGTAGCGACACCGGAATGAATAAAGGTAAGGAGTTTTCGAGGGTTTAAGGTTTAGGGTTTAGCTTTGCTGCTGATTGGGGTTTCGAGATTGCGGCCTGGGGCTGGCAAGGCAGGGGCCCCACCTGTCAGTTTGCTGCAGCCAATTTCCCGCAGCAATGCAGCTTGCAGTTCAGGTGTGCGTACATCTGAAGCAGCAGCAGCAGCAGCAGCAGCAGCGACAGCAGCGGGGAGTCCAACTGCTGGTGGAGCAGCACTGCTTTGGCTATGCAGCACAGCTCCCCTGCAGGACGTTCAGGCGCGCAATTTAGCGGCTAGAGTTTAGGGTTTAGGGTTTTAGGTTAAGGGTTACTAACGAATTTATGCAAGAGAAGAAGCAGACGGTGAAAGGGCCCAGCATGCATGCACTTGAATTTTGCAGAACCGACTACCTGCTGCTGCTGCTGCTGCTGCTGCTGCAGCTGTAGCTGCCGAGACAGCAGCAGCTGGTACTGTTACTGCTGCTACCGCTAAAGACCACACCGCGAAGTCTTTAATGTGTTTTGAACTAAAAATTAAATTTATTAAAGTACTTGTAGCACGCGTGTATGCCTCTTTTCAGCTGGACTGCTGCTGCTGCTGCTGCTGCTGCTGCTGCTGCTGCTGCTGCTGCTGCTGCTGCTGCTGCTGCTCGGCCGGGCGCCGACGAAGCCTTGCTGCTGCTGCAGCCGTTGCTGCTGCTGCTGATGCGGCAGCAATAGCTGCGTATACTGCAGTGTTTTATTGAACTCTTAAGGGTAGGACTGAAATCTGTTATTGTTTTCTTTGTCTTCATTTGATGGGCCAGCAGCAGCAGCAGCAGCAGCAGCAGCACCGGCAGAGGCAACTTCGTAGCTGTTGACCGTTGGAGCCCATCAGGAAGGAGACAGTCTCCGCCCTGTCTCTCATTGTCCCTTGTCTCGTTTTGACTGGAAGATCTTTACTTAAAACCCTAAACCCTAAACCCTAAACCCTAGGACTCACACCCTAGGTTTTTTCTTGCGGTGCTTGTGCTTGTGACACGGGAGCTACGGCTGACGAATGGTCCATCCGAGCCCAAGCCCTAAACCCTAAACCCTAAACCCTAAACCCCCGGCCGTCAGATTCACCTTAATTCGCGAACTTTGAATTAGCCTAGGGTTTGTTTCAACCCTTGCTGCTTTCCCGCGTGTCGGCGCTGCAGCAGCAGCAGCAGCAGCAGCAGCGCCAGCAAGCCTTGCTGGAGCGCACAAGGCAGCAAATATTATCTCTGGAAAAGCGTAAGCCCCAAACCCTAGGCCGTCAAACCCCAAACCCTAAGCCCTAAACCCTAAAGGAGAAGATGGACCTGCTCACTGCGTCTGCTGCGCCATGCAGATGACTAAAGGGATGCTGTCTGTTGCTGCTGCTGCTGCTGCAGCAGCAGCAGCAGCACTTCTACCCGCGCCCCTAGCAGCTGTACAGCTGACAGGTACCTAAACCCTAGACCCTGAACCCTAAACCCTAAACCCTAGACCCTAGGCGTAGCAAACCTGCGCGCAGAGGTGCGGCTTTGCCCCAGTGAAATGCAGCTATGACCAGCTAAGCCTTGGGATTTAGGGTTTAGGGTTTAGGGTTTAAGAATTGGTGGTTGCAGGTCAGCGGGGGTTTCCCAGTTTGTCTCGGTACGAAATTCCCACAGTGGAGACCGACATGGGAATATCTTTGCTGCAGCAGAGCCACAAGGTGCTGCAGCGCAGGCGGCAGCAGCAGCAGCAGCTGCTGCTGCAGCCAGAGGAGCCCCGGTGGGCAGACGAAGAGGACCCCTGGCTCCTTCCCTCCTTCCAGCAGCAGCAGCAGCAGGATCAGAAGCAGGAGCAGCAGCCGGAGCAGCAGCAGCAAGCAGCAGCACCAGCCGGCGCGAGCGAGCCAGCCCCTGTTGCTGCAAACGAAACAGGCAAGGCCGCAGCAGCAGGCCCCGCAGCAGCAGCAGCAGCAGCAGACGCTGCTGCTGCTTCCGCTGCGCAGGGCGAGCCGGAGAGCCCAGCAGCAGCAGCAGCAGCAGTCCCCGCATCCGAGTCTTCCCCAGCAGCAGCAGCAGCAGAGCCGCCACCCTCCCCAAGAGCCGCAGCAGCGTCCGAGCCGCCCGCAGCAGCAGCAGCAGCCCCCGCAGCAGCAGCAGCAGCAGCAGCAGGCGCTGCGCACGTGTCCTCAGTGGGGCTGCCGCTGCCCGCGGGGCTCGAAGCCCTCGAGCAGCGCATGCAAAAGGCCTTGAGGAAAGAAAGAATTAATTTGAAAAAAATAACTGGAGGCACTCTTCCAGAGTACGGGGAAACTGGCAGCTTGCCTATGCTCTGCGGCACTTGGCAGGTGACCCAAACCCTAAACCCTAAACCCTAAACCCTAAGCTGGGGCGCAGGCGCCACAGCGTGGCGGCTGAACACGCGGCGCTGCGCGCGGGACGGGACTTCAGCTCGCTGCTGCCTTTCTTGCAGGGTTTAGGGGGGCCAAACCCTAAACCCTAAACCCTAAACCCTGGGAGTTAGTAGGACTTTCTCTTGCCTCTGCTCTTTTCTGAGGGTTTGCTTTTCTCGAAAGGGTTTGTGGTGGTTTAGGGTTTAGAGCAATGACAGCTTTCAAGTACATTGGGTTGAGGGTTTGGGGTTTGAAGCGGCTTGAAGCCGAGGGTTTGGGTCTGGCGGCGGTTTAGGGTTTGATCAGGGTTTGTGGCCCGTGGCGGTTTAAGCATTAGCGAGGGTTTGGGGTTTCTCGCTGTTTACAGCTTATCGAGGGTTTAGGGTTTGCCGCGATTTAGGGTTTAGCGAGGGTTCGGGGTTTGCTGGTGTTTAGGGTTGATAAAGCGTTTGTCGCTTGCGGCGGTTCGGGATTCAGTAAGGGTTTGGGGCTTGCAGTAGTTCAGGGTTTCGCGAGGGTTTGGGCCGTGCGGGGGCTTAGGGTTTAGGGTTTGGGCTGTGAGGGTTTGGCTTTGCTGCAGACGCTGCCGGAGTCTCCGTTTTTCGAGTGGGTGTCTGGGGTTTCTTTTTACAGCGAGGCGGACAGCAGCGCCACGCCCGCCGCGCAGCAGCAGCAGCAGCAGCAGCAGCAGGCCTTCGGGTCTTGTCAGTGGCTGCCGCAGCAGCAAATTCACGTCGTCGAAACCCGCACCTTCAGACTGGGGCCTCCGCTGGTCTTTCTCGAGCGCCAAGAGTTTAAATCCAAAGAAGGCTGCCGACCCCAAGACCTCCACAGAGGTGCGGGGCCCCGACAGCTAGCTAGCTAGCTAGCTAGCTAGCTAGC